GCTACATAGTGAGTTCAAAACCAGTCTGAATACACAGAGAGACCCTGTCTCAAAAAAAAAAAAAAAAAAAAAGAAAGAAAGAAAAGAAAAAGAAAGAAAGAAAGAAGAAAAGAAAAGAAAAAGGCTGACGAAGCTAGAGTCTGACATCCGTAGTTGATGGCAGCAAAAGCTATCCATGCTCAAGCAGAGTCAAGCTTGCAAGTGCAGACTAACTTCCTGCTCCTCCTTTCCCTTTTCATGCCATCTGGGCTGCCTATTGGATAGCATCACCTATAGTCAGGACAAGTCTCTCCCTACATTGGCTGGCCCACAAGCCAATCATCTTTGGAAACGCCCTCAAGGAAGGCCACACACAGAAGTCTGATTTACTAATCTGTGAGGCCTCTCTCACTCCAATGAAGATAACAATCAAGATTAACCATCACAATAAAGGATGCCATTTGCAGGATGCAAAAGAAATAAGAAGCTGATTGGTGTCTTTTGTGACCCTACAAACCAAGTCGTGCTTAGAAAACGCTGGGGCTCAGCACAGCCCAGGGAGCTTGCTTACGGGCTTGGCTTCAGCTGTGGTTGTAAGGTCTGTCTGACTGCATCCTCAACAGGCTCTGTGTGACCCTGCCACACAGCCAGCAGCAGTGCCACGTCTTCCACCCATGAGCCGGCTCTGTGGGCTCATCTGACCCCATCCTCTGTCACCAGCTAGGACATCACCTTCACATGTTCTTGCCGTGCTCGCAAACGCAGCACACTCCAAGCTGAGCTCAGAGCGATACCTCATTCATTCACAGCACCACCACTACCCCAAGCTTCCTGCTGAACCCCCTGGTCCTTTGCTACCTAAAACTAACGAGTCCGTTTCCTCTTGTCCCTTACTCCTGTGCTGGCTCTCAGCCACCACTTCTGTCTCGCTCAGCCCACAGACTCAGGCTTACCCTCCACAAGGTTCAGAACTCCAAATCCTTCCTTTCATACCAGCTCACTTCTGCTGGAAATCCAGGTGCTTCAGGGTATCACGGCTCCTTTCTACTTGCTTGGGTTTCCTGGCCACCCTGCGACCAGAACATACCCACTCTGTCCCCTCTGCTCCTCCCAGCTGTGCCCCTGCTTTGGGGCGGCTGCTTTGGACCTGTGTCTCCTTCCTACTCCCCCTTCCCCATCCAAACCCGGCCAGGCCCCTGTAACCTGGGCTCCAGCCTACAGATGCCTGTTACCCATTCTGCACACCTGCGCTGACACCTTCCTAACCAGGCTCCTGGTGCCACGGTTCACAGCACGCTGCTGCCCTAACAATCCCAACAGAGCACATTTTCTACTTTTACCTCAGCATCTGGCTTGGGCACTAGATTAGCATTTTATTCATATGCCTGTGTTGACAGGTAAATGTCCCACACTCCATCACGTGTGTGTCATCCCTAAATACAACACACTATTTTAGAGATGATTGTGTAGGTAAACAGAAAAAAATCAATGATAATATATATATGTCAGTGACCTATGTCTTCATCTCCAGGTCAACAAACAGCAGGCTTTGTTTTAATTTTTTTTGTTTATTGTGGCTTTTAAACAATGAACCATAACACATAGTTCATGTAACAAAAGGTCGACGTGACACATAGGCATTATTAAATAAAGTTGGGCACTGTGTAATCGATCACTATTTAGGTGATATTCGCACAAGTATAAGAAAATTCGTGAATTCTCTGGAATTATATGCAAACTTAGGTGATTTATGCACTTTTCTAGGGAAAAGAGTTTAGAAGTTCTGCCCAAGTCCTGATACTGAGTGGAGCAATAGGATGAAGACAGCTCTGTGTCATTTGTTCTCAGAGTCTTTTCCCAGTTCTATTGAGGTAAGAATTGAGCATAAAAATTATGCACATTTACGGTCCATGACATGATAGCTTGACATAAGCACCCACTGTGAAATGAGTGCCATAATCAAGCTCACTAACACGCCCTGCCTCAGCAGTTGCTCTGATTCGTGCACGTGTGTGGTCAACCTCACCGTCCTGGCAAGTCCCTCGCATGTGATGCAGTGTGATTCCTACCATCACCATGCCATCCATCCAAGCTTCGACTGTGTGCTCAGACCTGCTTCTCCCAGCTGCACCCCAGCCTCGTAACCACCACAGCCATACCGCCTCTGCCACAGAATAAAACTGTGATGGGACCTCTGTGATGTTTTCTTCTAGGAGCAAGTACTTGGTTCACAGCTTACTAGGAGAAAGTGACAGGAGACTTGCAGCAGAACCTGGCTTCCTTTCACTGCTCCGTTCCTTTACATTTTGAAATCAGTATGATCATCACCCCCCAGCTATGCTTTCCTCACCCAGGACAGGTTTTATCTCCATGAACTAATCTGAAAACGACCAGCCCACTTGTAATATCAGAATAAAGTGAGAATATCAACGCAATTACAACTGAAAAGATGCACAAAGAGCCCCTTAGAAATTCACCACATGCCCGAGAGCCAAAGAAATGACACAGTGGAAAGGCAGCCTGTGGAGCGGGAGGAAGTATTTGCAAACTATGTATCTGAGAAGGTGTGAGTATCCAAATTATGTGCAGAACTCCTACAACGTGAACAGTAATAAAAACCCAATCAGAACATCGGCAAAGGTCTTAGACATTTCTGCGAAGACACACAAATGGCCAACAAAAATATGAAAAGATATTCAACATCACTAATCATCATAGAAATGCAAATCAAAACCAGGAGATGTCAGCTTATAACTGCTAAGACGGTTATTATTTTTAAAGGATAACGTGATGGTGAGGATATAGAGAAATCAGATGAGATTCAGATGGAGAATGGTTGGTGTCACCACTATGGAAAACAGTATGAAGGTTCCTCAAAATTTAAAGATAAACTACAATAAGATCGAGCAAGCCTACTTCTGAGTTCATACACAAAATAATTGAAATTAGGGTCCTGAAGAGGTATCACATGTTCATTGCAGCATTATTCACAACAGCAAAGATAAGTAGCAGCCAGAAACAATTCAAACGTCCACTAACATATGCATAGATAAAAGGTGTTATAAACATGCAATGGAATATTATGCTGTCTCTGAAAAGGAGGAAATCCTGTCATGTGTGACAACATAGGCAAACTTGGAGGACACTATGCTAAGTAAAGCAAGCCAGTTGCAAAAGGACACATAGAGCATAATTCCACTTAAATATGGCATCTGAAACAGGCTCAGAAAGCAGAATAGAATGACAGTTGCTGGGGGGAGTAGTTGAGAGTTGCGACTAAGCAGGCTGATGCTACAAGTATGCAGGATGGGCAAGGTGCAGAGCTCTTCTGTACAGTGTCCTCAGCTGGCAACATGTATGTGCATTTAAAAAATGTGTGGAGACGGAGCTGGGTGTGGTGGCTTCTCCCTAAGGTCCCAGCTGCTCAGGAGACCAAGCCTTGAGGATTACTTGAGCCCGGGATTTAAGAACTTTGCGGCCGACACCAGAGACTCTGTCTCTTAGAGAAAAAGAGTAAACAAACAAAATATGTTAAAGAGGATAAATCTCATGTGTTTTACTAAGGCGAAACATCCACCATATTCACAGACAGGATTAAATTTCATGAAGGCCGGTGCTAGGGTTCTCTTTCTCTTTGAAATTAATTTTAATAATATTTCCTAAACTTCTCTGAGGTTGATATTATGACCCTTTTTTACATGTGAGAAAATGGAGGCTTAAAAACATTACTGGACATGCTGTTTGGAAAGTTCCTCAAATACTACGGGTAGATTTACCGTACGACCCGGCAATTTCCCTGTTGGGCGTATGTCCAGAGATCCGAAAGCAGGGCCTCAGCACAGGCACTTGGTCACAGCGGCGCCACCATAGTAGCTGAAGGGTGGGAGCCACCAACACACCCACCGCGGGAGAGTGGGGAGAGGAACGTGCAGGTATGGGCAGCAAGTGCTGTTCAGACTTACAAAGGAAGGCGACTCCCAGCCTGCTGCAACATACATGAGCCATTATGCACGGTAAAACACAATGCCTTAGGGTTCTGGGAGGGAGACATTCAAACGCCTCTCGGAGAGGTGGAGGCGAGCACCGGGTTCAGAACATCAGCCAGGTGCAGAGCGGGGCGGGCCCGGCTCACAGGGAACTTCCTGTCCCAACCGGAAGTCTCCGCAGGCAGCCGGGAGCTTATCCTCTTCCCACAGGGAGAGTCCGTGCAGGCCTTACGTGCACCACAATTGGAGGCCACCAACAGGATTTGGGAATCTGGGCTGACAGCGATTAGTCCACTAGAATCTGCCTCTTTCAGATTATACACATTCTCTCAGCAAAAGTAGCGGATCCAGGCAAACTGTCATCATAAAGAGTGAAAACAAAACTGACTGACACTGCCAGGTCAGATCCACAATGAACAAGGGCATGGCAGAAGGAGCTTCGGACTCCCGAAAAACCCCCAAGACTAGAAATTCTATTGGACCTAGCTATTCGCTTCTAGGTATCCTGCCGAAAGAGTAAAAGACATTATATTACAGGAAGACACCACATAACAGCACATATACACTACAGTGTAATCTATTACACTATATTACAGCACAACTCATAATGGCTAAACCTTGGAAGTGGCTATTATCTACATCAACATGAATGGATAAAGAAAATGCAGTATTTATACTCCATGGACTACTACTCTACCACGAAGAAGGATAAACTTGAGTTATTTATAAGAAAACAGATGGATCCTGTGACCATAATGTTAAATGAATTAGACATATAAGCTTAAATATCACATTGTTTCTCTTATATGAGAAATCCAAAATATATTAAAGAGGGAAATAAAAGATAATAGGAAACAGGGAGAAAGATCTTTTGCAAATAAGAGGACTAAGGGGAGGGAGGGGGAGGACACAGACGAGATGTGCTATGTACGTGTGCCAACTCCCTACGACGAACGTAACCATTATGCACTGCAAACGAGTACCGATACATTTTAAACTTCATAAAGAAATGAAAATACCCATACTCTGCTCCAATCTTTTACAGTTAGTGGTGACATTTTATTTTTTAAGAGCTCAGAATACAAAACATAATACTGTAAAGTACTCAAAAGAACATTCAATGTTCACAAAAATTCATTTTAAAAAACCTGAAAAGAGAGCCAAGGCAGTCCGTGCTTGCGAAGGCTGCCCATGGAGGTACTCTTGTAGACGTGGCTTTAGTTTACCGGCAACACTGCTGGGGACGCGCGACCTGAGCTGGAGGGGAGTCGGCCGGGCCGCGGCAGAGGCTGGGATCCGGGCTCAGGGCGATCCGCGCTCCGGGCGCCGGCCAGCCGCGGGGCAGGAGTGCGGGCGGACGCCGCGAAGCTCGAAGGCCCGGCTGAAGTCCAGGGGCAGCGCCTGAGAGCCCCGGGCCAGGGTGAGGCCGCGCAGGCAGCCGCGGAACGGAGTTGGGCCGCTCAGGCAGTTCTGCTTGACGCCGGCTGCGGAGGGGAGCGGAGAGGAGCTACGGTCAGGTCAGGCCGGGCCGGGTATCAGGGCACGCGGTCCGGCCCCCGCCCCGCCCCGCACGCACGCACGCACGCACGCACGCACCCGGGAAGCCGCCCACGTAGACCGGGTCGTGCGTGTCGGCCGAGGTGGACTGCGCATGCGGGCTCTCCGCCGCCACGGCGCGGCCGTCCACGCGGAGCAGGAGGTGCGGCCCGCTCTTGCTGGCGTGGACCGAGTGCCAGCGGCCGTCGCACAGCCGGCCGGCGCCCGCGGGCTGGAAGGCGGCCGAGATGCGGCCTGCACCATTGTTGACATGGAACAGGAGCTGGAAAAGCGGAGCGCGCGCGTGGTGAGGATGGGAGCGGGGACCCCCGCTGTCGGGGCATCGGAGAGGGGACACCCACGTGGGGCCTGCAGCAGCCCCACCTCGGGCAGGAACAAGGGAGCCGAGCCGCGGAGATGGGAGTGCAGCGGAACCCCCGGAGCCCCTGCCGGCAGCTCAGCACCTGGCCCACGCCCGGGCCATGTGCCCCCAGCCGCCCAGCTGCCTCCACTGACTCGTGCTGGGGCCCTGAACCCGCGCCCCACGTGCTGCGCTTGCGGACAGTGACAGGGACTGTGTCGGGAGGTCCTTAGGCAGGACCGGGCTGGGCGGGGTGTCCCTGGGAGAAGGGAGGGCCCGGGAAGGGGAGCAGTGAACAGACGCCTGTTCCTGCAGCGCAGCCGAGCAGGTTCAGGGCACCGCCGTGGGGTTCTTGTGCTTTTAGGAAGCCCCTTAGTATTATTTCAAGGCAGACTGTGACAAAGATGTGCACTACAACCGCTCAAAAAGGTGACCGAAATCAGTAAGTAGTAAGTCAATAATGGAAGTAAGATATTCAACAGAAAAGTACATTTTTGCAGCTATTCTTCTTCTGACGTTTCTTAGAGGTCACATAAAAATATGCAAAATTGATTCAAAGTTTTTAAAAATTCTTGTAAACTATAGCTGAGAGGAAAGCTGCCTGTGAGCTGTCGTGTGGAGGCAGCAATACAAAAGGGAGGCAGCTCTGTCTCCACCTGCGGTGAGGGGAACAGGGGAGTCAAGGGCCCAGGGTCAGACAGGGCCTACCTACCCCACACCTTCCAGGACACGCTGGGGCAGGAGTCCACTGGGGTGGGTGGGGAAACACCGGAGACCCCAAGTCAGCTGGGTAGGGGTCAGCCTGGGCCACACAGTGACCCTGTCTTAAACCACACTCCTCAAAAAGGGATCAGGACGCGGAGGGAGGGGATGTGGGAAAGATTAAGACGTGTTCTGCACACACACCCACCCTCCCTGAGGAGTGTGACCATATGTGCACAATTGTGAACTAATAAAGGTAAAAATACCAAGAGCCCCCTTCTTGACTCCAAGCATGAGGGGGCCAGTCTGGATCTAGGAGCAGCGGCTGTGTTTCGCTGCCCTGTCTGTCAGGGGCAGGGGACCCGGTGGAGAGGGCGCTACCTGGCCGTTGACAATCTCCAGGCCCAGGGCGTCCACCTTGGCGCTGCTGACCCCCAGGAGGACGCCGTTCTCCGAGGAGGTGCGGAACTCCAGCGAGATGTTCAAGTCCGTGCGCACCCTGTAGCCCTCTCTGACTGCAAAGCACAAGGGCAGGGTGGGGGGGTCCACTCGGGTTAGTGCAGGCGGAGACTGACTGCTGGCCACTTGCGGCTGCAGCTCCGCCCCGCCAGCACCCTGAGCCCCAAGGTTTTCAAAGTGGGGACCATGGGGAATGATTGTTTCCCTCAGGAGATAGAGAAGCCAGCCGAGACACCACACTGGGGGGCTTTGCATGGCCCGCACTTGCTGTGTGGCCAGGGCTAAGGACAGGTGGGAGAGGGTGGTGTCTCAGAGCCTGGCAGCTGGGCCCTGGAGAGGACTGGAGTCTGACCAGCCTGAGGCGACAGGAAGCCCAGGCCAAAGGGGACAGGTTCCATGCGGTCTCTGGCTGCCCTGGAGCGTTCACACTGCTGACTTTAATGCAGAGACCCTGATGTTGACCTTGAGAGCTAGATGTCCCCCAAAGCTGTAGGAGGTGGGGTCTGGCCGGAAGAGGAGGTCCCGCGTGTGGGGTGCAGGGTTGCCTCCCTCCCGAGCTGCCGCCTCTGCGTCACACTGCCATGCTGTGAGCTGCTCTCCTCTGCCAGGCCCTTCCACCACACCTCTCTTGCACGGAGCCTGGGAACTGTGACCCCAGATAATCCTCTCCTTTAAGTTACATACGTCCGGTATTTCGCCCCAGGGAGGAGAAAGCGCCCAAGACCCTTGGTCAGCTTGGATAGTAAAGTGTCTCACATAGTCTGGGGGATCACGCAGCCCCAGCTGAGGTCACCTGGACAGCACAGGACTGCAAAGGCTTCCATGCCACGTGACCACACAGGAAGTCGGGGACACAGCAGGACACTGAGCCACAGCTGGCCTCCTGCAGCCCTGTCCAGCTGGGCCCCGTCTTCCCGTCCACCCCCTAGGTCCGTGCTGTCTCCGAGCCACCGTGAGCCGCAGGACCTCCTGGCACCTGGTAATACACACCCAGAGCTGCATAGCCACTGCCATCAAAGAACATCCCTTCCTCAGCTGCCACGTAGCACCTGTCCACTGCCAAGGCAGCTGCCGGGCCGTCTGTGTCCAGGGGCCTGCTGTTCACTGCCACCTCCCCAATGCAGGCGGCAACGCTGTGTGTGACCTGGACAAGCAGACGGAGACTGCTTTGACACAGCCAGGACCAGAGTCCCTACACTTCTTCAAATCTGCCCTGTCACAGGGCCTCACAGCGCGGCCTCTCGGTTTTCGGCTTTTAAAATGTGATGGTCACAGTGCCTCCCTGAGTGCCTGACTTAGAAGTGCTGCTGAATATGCCACAGTGACGCCGCTTCCTGTCATTTCAGTGAAGTACCAGGCACATTAAGAATTCTGCACTCTACTGAGCCGTGGGCCATGCTTGTGGAGGGACGTGCTCATGCACTGGCCAGCAGGAGGGCTGGCCAGGCTCTCGGGGCCTCCTGTGGGCGAGGGCCGGGCCTCCCCTTCTCACAGGGAAGGAACTGCCGTGCCCAGGGCCACCGGGCCGAGCAGGGCCCCACTTACATTCCCGATGTTCCGGGCCCTGTAGTCGGGGGGAAGGCCCCCGAGGTACAGCTTCCCCTCCACATCCAGCGAGGTTCCGTCGCCCACCGTGGTCACCGTGGGGGATTCATGGCCATCAACAGTCACAGAGCCTTTTCTTTTAAAGTACTCTGCCTTCACCTAGAGAGATGAAGACATGAGTAATGTTTCTTTTTGTGTGTGGTTCTGGGGGTCGAACCCAGGGCCTTTGCCCTGAGCACGATTCCCAGGTCCTTTTTTATGTTTTGAAATAAGCTAAGTTGCCCAGGCTGGGCTCGAACTTGTGACCCCCCTGCCTCGGCCTCCCAGAGTGTGGGATGACAGATGTGCACCGCTGGCTAAAACACACGCAGCTTCTAGGCCAGGCAGGAAAGCAAGAGAGGGACGTTGGCAGTGTGTGTCCACAGCTGTGACGCCTGAGGGACACTGCACGATGGTGGCTCGGGCCTTGCACCGCGAGTGGGCACCATGTGCATCTGCTCAAGCCGAGGCTGCCTCTGTACCTTGCGTGCACCCTGCAAGGCCCTGCGGCGTTTCAGGAAGCAGAGAAGAGCGGCTGAGGTCATGCAAGGGGCTCCCGGGGCTCAGGACAGAGCTGGACCCAGCGGCCACAGCCCCCCGGGACCCACCGTGTGCCACCTGCCATCATCGATCAGTGCAGGGTGAGCAACGCGGGTCCGGCCCTTGCCCAGGTCGAAGACGAAGACAAGGCGGCCACTGTGGAGCTGCAGCACGGCGTGGTCCACCTGGTTCTGATGGGCCGTGTAGAAGACCAGGCCGCTGGAGGCGAACGTCCGGATGCTGAGCTGGACCAGGAACCTGGAGGAGAAGGGGAACTCAGCACCCCAGGGGAACAGGCTGCGCTCACAGGGCTTAAAATAACGCCCAGGATCCGGCTGCACTCAGGGGCACACGCCTGTAACCCCAGCATGCTGGAGGCTGAGGCAGGAGGACTGCAAGTTCAAACCCAGCTGGGGCAACTTAGTGAGACCCTCTCTCAAAATAGTTGAAAGGGTAGCTGCTGTGTTGCTCCTGTCTGCTGGGGTCTGCTCAGGATGAAGTGTGAGCCAGGAGGATCCCTTGTGCTGCAAAAGGAACACCAGGAAGACATCACAGCCACTGTGGGGTCCCGAGAGGTGGGGCAGGTGGCTCTGCCACGGCAGCATTTCCGCTGAGCTCCAAGTGGCCCACGGGCCAGGCCCAGCACAGCCCAGCGGGAAAAACCTTCGCCTGGTCCAGGACGGGATCAAGGAGCTCGAAATGAGGTCCGCCCCGGTGTGCTGGAGGCTGCGCCTGACCGCTGCTCCGAGGGCCTGGGGTCCCCCTCCCCGAAGTCCTTCCCATGGCCCGTGCTCGGGGACTTGGGGGCAGTGCCTACCTCTTCCTGACCTCCGTGGGGTCAAAAGGCAGCACCAGGTGGCTGTTCTGCGAGCGGCCAAACTGGTGTGCACCGGGAACAAACCGCGGAGCCGTGTCCACCGCACACCGGCCCTGCAAGAGGCCACGCAGGGCCCTCAGCCACAGCCCAGGACCGGGAAGCGGGGACTGGGACCCAGCAGTGACAGCCTGCCCACGGGGTGCACCCAGCACCGCAGCTGGCTCGAGGAAGCGCTCACTGACACTTCCTCTCCAAGCACGGGCTCCCATCTTCCACCCTTTCCCACTCTCGGTCTCAGTGGTCCTGAGGGCGCCCCACTCGGGTCTTCAGCGCCATCGCCGAGGACGCCAGGGTGGGTGTCCTGGACACCAGTGCCTGCAGGTGGCAGATCCCAGGGTACCCAGGACGGGAGAGCTGCAGGGCAGTCCCAGGGTGCTGGCCGGCGCCCTCCAGGGCCCCACACTGGCCCACAGCGTCCCATCTCCAGTGCAAAGTGCACAGCTGCCCCAAGAACACCGTCCCTGACACTGAGAGCGGAGTGCCTGCGGACCAGGGGCCTCCTGTGGTATTGCAGGGCCCGCCTCCAGCCAGGACTGAGGAGCATCAGGAACTAGGACATGAAGAAGAGCAGGGCCTGGCCTCCCTGAGCGGCCGGACCTTCTCAGCAACAGCGGCTGACGTTTAAGGGCTTATTTTTGTGTTTCTCCAGATAAATCACAAAGGAGGATGAGGCTGACGTGACGGAAGCAGGCAGGGGGCCCAGTGGACGCCTGGCCTGCCACCTGCAGCTCGGCCGGCAGCACCTTGGCCCTGTCCCGCTCCGCTCCTGTGGCCTCTCTGGCCCTCCTCTGCTCTCCCAGGTGCCAGCCCTGGCCCTGGCGACACCACCACCTCACTGGGCTTCAGGCTGGCTCCAGGCCGGCTCCAGGCCCAGCTTCCCCAAGGCCTGGGGCTGGGCCCGTCACCTGCAGTGGCACTTGTGTCCCTCTGAGGGCAGCTGGGAGCACCGAGGAAGCCACACTCACCGGCCTCGGGGCAGCCTGGGGCCAGGATAGCAGCTCCTCGTCCTCCACTTGAGGGGCCGGCACGGGCATTTCTGACAGCAAGCAGCTGTCCAGCTCCACCTGCTCTGAGGCTGCTGCCCGGGTGAAATCCAGAAGTCTGGAGAAAACAAGAGAGCGTCGTCTCCAAGGTGAAGCAGTCACAGTTCTCACAGTGTGGTGCGCCTCCCAGGCCTCGGTGCCAGAGCAATCCTGGCACCACCTCCTGGCCGTCCATGGGCCCAGCGCTGCTGCTCCGTATAAAGAGATTAAAGAATATAAAATGTATATAGAAGAAATACTACATTCCTTGGAATTGTTTAGGAGGAGATGAAGTAGTACTTTTACATAAAGACTGTTATGCTGTGGAAGTTCGATCCTCATGTTCTGAATGGGGGATCATATATACAGTGGCGCCTTGGTTTTTCAACTTAATTCCTTCTACAACTCTGGTCACAAACCGAGTTGGATGAGAAGTGAATTTGATTACTGAGCAATTAATGCCCACTGAAAGCCATCTTGGTGTTTGGAAACTGAGCATCCTTCAGTGACAGTCCCATGTGTACGTGTACCCACCCCACGGTCCTCGCAGCGTGCCAGGGCCATTCCTGAGCATCACGAGCGAGCCAGGGCTCCACGGCTCAGTGCTGCCTCGCCTCTTCCAGCCTCGGTGCTGTCTGTGGTTGCCACGGGCTGCACAGCAGCGCCCACTGACTTCCGGTTCATAGGTTCCCCTTAGGTCAGTGGTGGTGAACCCATGCCACGCGTGTCACAGTGGGTACGCAGAACCCTCTCTGTCGGCATGTGAGCCAAATCACCCCAGCAGCTGAGCATCAGACACTCAGGTTTAACTGCAGTGCCGGTGCTCTGCCTTAATAAATGGGTTTGGGGTTGCAGCTTGGGCACCTGGTCTCTAAAAGGTTTGCCATCAGCGTCCTAAGTGCATGTCAGAACTGTATTTTAACTTCAGCAGTTTATTGACAAGCCCATGAGGCTGATGTTCAGTGATTAGTACATACACAGCACGGTGACCGGATCATTCTAACCTAGTGGAATCCACTCAGGGGGCTTTCAGGACAGAACAGCAAGGTTCCCCTGCTGTTCCTCCTCGGCAGCCACAGCCACGCGAGGCTGCGGATTCTGGCCAGTGCTTGCCGGGAGACAGCAGCAACGGCAAAGCCCGGCCAGAGCCCGGGGACTCACTCCATGTTGAAGACGAGGTCCTTGATGCAGCCGTAGAAGGAGCTCCTCGTCTTGAGCACCAAAGTCCGTTCTTCCTGGGGGACGCCGCCCACGTACAGGCTGGACGCGCTGATTGGCCTGCTTTCCGCCGAGGGGCCCAGCCGCATCTCCACAGGCTCCGCCTCATCCAGCTGCACAGTGACAGTTCTACGGGCAGAGCAGAGTCTGCTAAGTGAAAGGAAAACACTGCCCCATTTCAATGCATGCTTCCAGCGAGCTCCTTCTTACTCAGCACTTTTAAATAGTCATGCATGTTACAGTGCACAGCGCAGTCCCTGTGAGGAGCTGGAGCAGGCGTGCAGCACATCTAGTTCTTGTGTCCTCCCTCCCCGCCCTTCATCTCTGGATTCCCTTCCCATGTGAACAAAATCTACCTCCTCGCTTCCTACTTACTATCTTTTACTTTGCTCTCTCTCTATATTTGGGTTTCTCATATAACAGAAGCCAAGCAGTGTTTAAGCTTGTGTCTGATTTATTTCACTTAAAATAAACAAGGATAAACTCGAGTCATTTCCAGCAGGTTCTTAATAATAAATTTCCTCGAAGATGACGTTTAACATGACATGACATGTGAATAAAAGGTGCATCTTGCAAAGTAAAACTTATAATTGAACATTCTCCAGAAATGAATAAAATGCTGTGAGATGTCATGGAAACTACTGCTTTTCACCTCTACCTACAATAAAAAAAAATCTGTGGTTTTAAAACGTGATCTTGGAGGGAAATACATAGGAATGTCGATATAATACAATTTCTTGTTTACCACCAGCCCTGTATATATATTACTGTCCACTAGCTAGCACTATCCTTCTGCTAATTTTCCAGTTATCCCAAAGAAAAGACAAAGGGCAGGGGGGTAAGGCTTTTGAAAATTCTACAACCATCTTACTCTAAAGCAGAGGAAACTGACTGCAAAGAAGTATTTTGGCAAGTTTCTAGAAGTGTTTTTAGAATGATAAAAACTCGGGTTGCCAACCATGCCACACTGGGCTCGTCGCAGTCATTTAGGGGCACACTGAGCCCTCACGGGAGCCCACTTTTGCACTCGAGCCCTCCCCTCCTGCCTTGCGGGCCACCGTACCTCTGTGTCCTCACCACGGAGACCGAATGCTCCTGGCCATCGCTGTAGGAGCCCGAGGGAGCGTGCACCAGGGCCTTCCGCAGGCTTGTTCCATCCCCGAGACTGACGTGCACTTCCACGTGGCCATCGACCAGCATGATGGCAAAGAACGGCTGCGGGGAAGAGAGTCCCACACAAACGCATCATGGAACGACGCTGAAGCCTTCATCTCCCGCAGGTGGTGTAGGAATGAATGTGAGCACACAGTGAGCCATTTCTTCAGACTCTACCAACTCTCACAGCTGTTTCAGACTTTGCATTTTACTTTCTAATCCCTCTCCTATCATTTATATTGTTCATGTGCTATTTATTCTCATTAACCATGTCACAGATTCCCATTGTTATGAAGCCTCACATACACTATTTACTGTTTCATAATGGACCAACAAGTGGATGTAATTTGGGGAATTTTTCTCACGTTTCTAAAAGCAGCATTAAGGAGCTGATGGGTTTGAAAATGTCTGAAGGTCTATAAAGTTTCTGCTGCGTTGTATCACAAACACACACACACACACACACACACACACACACACACACACACACACACTGGTAGAAGGAAAGTTTGGCAAGTCCTTTGAAAGTTAAACACAGGGCCGGGGATTTAGCTCAGTGGTTCCGGTGCCTGCCTCGAAAGCACAAGTTCCCAAGTTCGATCCCCGGTACCAAAAAACAAAAAAAGTTAAACACAGAATTAACATATGAGCAGCAATTCTGGTCCTAGGAATAGACTCCGAAGAACTGAAAACAGGGACTCAAACAAATGTTCACAGCCATGTTATTCATAATAGCCTAAAGGCAGAAATAACCCACTGGGCATCTCAGGATTAACGTGGAAAACGTGCTGTGTAAATGGAGGGAAATATGACTCAGTCACTCAAAAGGAACGAAGTGTAAGACGAGTGACACTGTGATCAGACCTTGCAAACGTGCTAAGTGAAACACACAGAGGTCACATCCTGTGTGACCCGATCCACATGAAATATCCGGGACAGGTTAAATCGAGCCGTAGCCACAGGAGGCAGACTGCTGACTGTCTGGGGCAGGAAGGGGAGGTGGGGAGTAACCCCTTACCTTCTGGGGCACAGGCTATTAATTTGGGGGGTACAAATATTTGGAACTAGATGGTGAAGGTAGCTTCACAATACTGTGAGTGCACTAAAGTGCTTGCTTTAAAATGATTAATTTTAAAGCCAAGTGTGGTGGCACGTGCCTGTAACCCAGCACTAGGGAGGGTGAGGTAGGAGGGTCACTGTCAGTTCAAGGCCAACTTGTCTTAAAAAAAATGTATGTATATGTATGTGTGTGTGTGTGTGTGTGACTTTTATGTTATTTGAATTTTACCTCAATTTTAAAAAATGAGCACTCACACCCACAAACCAATCTCAGTCTTGGCCAGCCCTTCTTCAGTGCCTCATGCTGCAGTTGGGATCCGCAGAGCGATGCTCCAGGCCCAGCTTAACAGTGTGTGGCCTTGGCCTCTCTGGAGGCCACAAACAGGAGAAGCTGCCTGTGCTCTGCCCCGTGGTGATAATGAGGCAGCAGTGTCTGTCAAGCGCCTCCCCAGGAGAGCCTCCTGCTGCAGGAACTGCAGGTGTGTGGCTGCCTTGGGTGGGAGGACCATTAGTGTCCCCTGTGTCCCTTCCAACTAGGGGAAGGAGGCCGGCTGCTGCGGTGCTCACCGCGGGTCATGCTCCTGTCTGCCTCTTCCGAGCTTGTAGCAGAGAAAGACAATCACAGTCCAAGCAGAACTGAAGGACCTGCTGTGAGCCTTAAAATGAAGAGCGACGAACACAATGCACGACTCACAACATGCAACTCGTGAAGTCACTTTAATCGGCGCAGGATGGAAAAGACTTTTTTTCTTGGTCACTAGGCAACGAAGACAGATGAGCAGCGCCAGAGATCACTGGCTTGGGAAGGGAAGCCGCTGGGCAGCGATCACTGCCACCCACTTACAATGCACAGACAGACACCCGGGAGCAGCTACTCACCACGTTTGTGGGCCGCCTGCCCTGCTTCTCCGAGGCCCGGCCGATGGCAGCCAGAATGAGGCCGGTGCTGTTCTGGGTGGCAAATGTGGCCAGCACCCCGGACTCTGGGGACAGGGGCCTGGGTGGCAGCTCCACGTAGCCACCTCTCAGGAGGCTGACACTGTGAATGGGCTGGGACAGAGGGCAGGGGGTGAGCCCTGCTGCAGGTGGGGGCCGCCCACTCTGCCTGCCTCTTTTCCACCCACCCGGTGGCTGACTTCCAGTGAGCCCCGTATTAGTGACAGCGTTCCCACCTCCAGGACGCAGCCTTTGCCCACACCGTAGGAGTTCCGGAGCAAGTCGAAGGTGGACCTGGATATTTCCAGGTTCTTGATGCAGCCCACATAGCTTTTGCTCATCACACCTTTCCTACAGGGAAGGACAGGAGAACAACTGCAGTGGAATTTGGGGATTGTAATCCCACTTCTGGAAGACTAGTGGAAAAGCCGTTTCCATGTGTCACTGAGGACACCTGAGCCGACCAAGGCTTGGGCTGTAAATATCCACTGAGCTGGTCACATTCGGTGCTCCCACTCCCTGGGGCTATGCTGTCTGCACTGCTGGTCTCTCACACAGGTTTTCCTTCTTAATAGTGTGCAAAAACCTTACAGCTTCATTTGTCCAACCCGAAATTACAAAACCGAAGACAGTGAAACCCAAAGCATTGACATAAATCATCAAAGTCAGAAAGTGAAGCAGGAGTGAGTGCTGTACAAGGGTCCCATGGCCTCCCGCTCTGCCACCCAGCTGCTGGTGCTGGCCTTTCTGCTGTCACGCACACCACTCACTAATTACACAAGGGAGAATCCAGAGAAGCCTGCAGAAGGCATAACTTGGGTGTTCTTCGTTTTTGTTTTTTCTTTTCGGCACACAAAGAGATTCTACTACAGAGATGAAGCGTGACAGCAAGCAGGTAGGCAGGGTCTCTATATACCACGCAGGAACAAGGTTTGGATGTTCTAAAGGCAATAAATACAAACTCTGCTGAGGTTGCTTCATTCCCAATTAATGTGGCATGTAACACTTTGAGTAAACACAAATGTTACGGGTTTAGCTGTGTTCTCCACAAATGTTCAGTCTTAATTCCCAGTATCCACAGATACAACCTTATATGGAAGCAGAGCCTCTGCTGAAGTCAGTTAGGATGAGGTCATTAGGCTGGGTCTAACTCCACAGGCGTCCTTATAAAAAGGGAACAGAAGGACATAGGCAGAGAGGGAAAGCCACAGGGAGACGCCGTCTTCGAGGACAGGGCGCGGCAGGCTGTGGGAGAGATTCGCTCTCACAGCCCTCAACAAGGAAGCAGCCTGTTCCCAACTCAGTTCTGGACTTGTAACCTCCAGAACTGCGAAAGGAGACATTTTCTGTTGTTTGTGGTATTTTGTTACAGCAGCTCTAGGAAACTAATACATCTGCTCACCGGGGACGATCCTACCTGGGAATTCTCGACCTAGGCAGGCCGCCCACGTATATTGGATCCTTATCCAGCCGGTTGAGGTCAGAAGAGGCTCCTGGGGATTCGCCTTGCTTGGTCTCTCTGTCGCTGGTGTTGTAGACATCGGTAACGGCCAGGAGCCCTGAAAGGAGCCGAAGAGGAAGAGGTAAGGGGACAGTCACCTTTACACTACAGTAAATGCAAGCTTCCGTCAACAAAGTTCATTTTACAAGGCCACATTCTTTTTTCTTCTTCTTCTTCTTCTTTTTTTTTTTGGTACCGGGGATCGAACTCGGGTCCTTGAGCTTGCGCAGCAGGCAGTGAAACCACTGAGCTAAATCCCCGGCCCCAAGGCCATGTTATTTTAAAGTCTACAAATTCGAGCAGCTAATGTTCTCGCCTATTCTACAAAACTCTGTAAATCCAGACTACACATTGCTAAGTGAGAAAACAGAAGATTTGCTTACTTGACTCCAATTCAGCATTTATATGAACCCATAGACAGAGTTTATAATATTCCTCCAGCAAAATGCATTCCAAAGCCAACAGTGGCTTTCAATTGCTACGTCATTTGAGAATGTTGTGTGGCCCACCGGTTAGGGTGATGGACTGGAATACCATTCGAGAACACCAGGAAGCTAGTGCAGAGTAAGACTGCTGATTCTGGAAAGGCATCTATCCTTACAAGGCGACCAGCAGCAGAGTCCACCTGCGCCCTACCTTGCTTCCGGTTTCGCTGGAAGGCGATTTTGTACCAGGTCCCGTTGTTGTACCGCCGGTCCGTGGTAAGAGAGAGAGGTCCTGAACCCAGATCAACCATAACTCTGACTCTGCCGTGGACCAGCTCGACGGACACAAAGTCTTTCTGCAAAGGAGAGATCAGTATCCCGCAGCTGCGTCTTTATCCCAAGACTCCCTCTCCCTGTCAGTCAGGGCTGGCAGAAACCTGAAGTCAAACTGGGGAAACAGCAGTGGGTCCCGTAACAAGAGATCTATGCTGCCAAACTAAAAATGTCCACCATGGCTTCCTAGAACACCACCCAAACACAGAGGAGACACTGCTCATGGATACAAGCCCGCAGTTCACTCAGACATACAATCTCCTCAGTCTTGTTCACTTAGCCTGACAAATGGACGGATCCTAAAAAGGAAACCTGCAGACTGAGACCGGGAGGACCAGCCAGTGCATGAGGTGCAATGGGAATGCGGGCTCCTGGCCTTGGGACTCGAGTGCAGTCACTGTGGTCACAGTGAACAGATTGAGGCTTTTATCCAACTCAAATTTAACGCCAAGTGCTTAACTGCCACCTGTGACCAAAAGCCATGTTTCTACTTGGTATCTTCCAAGTTCTTCCCAAAGGTTCTTCATGAATTCATTGATAGAGGAAATGCTTTTACACAGGGAGACTGGACAGCATACATGAGTATACTGTATTGTATGGGCTCATAAAAATCGCATAGCATAAATATGCACATACTCATTAGCAAAGTCTGTCTCCTCCAACAAACAACCTCACGGCCATCCAAATATCCCTTGCAGAGGGCTCAGCGCCCCATGAAGACTTACGGTGCCATTTGAAGCCAGGTAGAGAAGCAGCCCGCTGGGGGAGAAGGTGTTGAAGAGCATGACAATCTGAGTCACGGTGGCCCGCATGGTCTTCTCCACCACGGAGTACCCACTGCCATCAAAGTGGAAGGACGAGTCTTCATTCTGTGGGCTGCAGAGCAGAAGAAATGAAATCCCACCCTCCAGGGAGGCTGAGGAGCCAAGCACTCTGTTTACCGGTTCTCCCTCCCCAAAATGATGGTAGAGCCATTATTTTCGTTATTTGACAGCAAGAGTAAAATACAGCACAAGGTGAATGTCCCTCATCTGAGAATCTGAAATCCAAAACACTCCAAAATTTGAAATATTTTGAGCACCAACGTGCTGTCTCAAGTGGAAAATTCCACACCATGAAACTGTATCATGCACATTATTAAAAATTAGTGTCTAAAACTACCTTTGGGCCATGTGGTATATGAAACATAAATGAACTTCATGTTTAGATTTGGGAACCCTCCTCAATATATCTCATTATATATATGAAAATATCTCCCCCCCACCCAAAAAAATCCAACTCTGAAACAATTCTGGTCCCAAGTATTTCAAACAAGGCATATTCAACCTATATTTGAAAATATACTTGCCATAAGATTATGCAACACAAATGCCCAGCTGCTTCATAAAGAAAAGAAAGTTAACGTGGGCAGAGTTCACTGCAATAAAAAGAAGTTTCTTAGCAGGAAGATGGTTGCTATCAATACTTCCCCTCATCAGTAGCTGCATGTGTCAACTCGCTCTGCTCTCCTGCTACGTAACTGTCCTTCATCGCTGCTGGTGCAGCCTGCACGCTGGCATTTCTGACTCTTTGCTGGCCTTACCTGCGCCTCAGGTAAAGGGCCCGGGATGAGAAGGAGTGCCCGTGAACACGAAGGAACCTTGCCCCTCACAGCTAACACAGGACCATGTGCCCTGTTGGAAATTCGCCGCTGCTTTAAGGTGTTCTAATAGCGAGCGAGTGATCTGGACCCAGAGCAGGGACAGAGCGAGGGCTGGGCGTTATCCACGTCGGAAGCCCCAAGTTGCTGGGAAGCTGACGGCTCCGAGTCGGAACACACAGCGTGCTCCCCTGACGGCGGGACTTCCCAAGGTCAGGGATTTCCAACACTCACCCAGGACAAAACTGTAGCTTGCACCTTACATTTATTGTTGAGAAAATAACCCTAGATATTTATCTAGGAAGCAACGTCCTGTCACTACAAGAAAACAGTGAAGAACGGAGCTGCGTGTCAGATTTAACTGCATTAAAGTACTTTCAGGAACAGCGGGTTTTGTGTTCGTCAGGCTCACTCTGCGAGGGGGGTAAGACAAATACAATCACCTCCTCTTCTAGAGGAAGAAACCAAACCTCAGTGAGGTGAAGAGACAGATGCAGAGTCCCAGCGAGAGATCTGGGGAGAGACCCGAGCCCAGAGCCTGAGAAACTCCCGCTCCAAACCCAATGCTCTTCCTTCTCCTCAGGCTGCAATAAGCGAGGCCATACATTTTTAGGCAAGTTAAGGGGGGGGGGTGCAAATAAAAGGCTTAAATCACAAAACCCCAAGCTTGAGCCATGACAGAAAACAGACCTAACAATGAAAACTCACCGTGGTTTTCTTTCCCTGCACAACACAAGCCGCGTCTAACTGACCTGGTCACCCTCACTGTCAGTGAGGGACGCCTATCTGACACAGCGGTGGCCACCAGAGAAATCCTATGGGACACTGCGTTTCCCCCCCAGAGGAGGAGCCCATACGCTGGAAAACCGGTCTTAGATACCTCGTTACAAGGAGAGGTGTTGAGCTCACTACGACGGTTATTAAATGCCTTCCTTTGGGTCAATACACCCAGAAAGACGCTAGCTGTTCTGCATTTCAAAGGTATTTTATCTCCAGGGTTACAGAACCGGGTTAGGAATAAGAAAGTACTTATCTACAAAAATCAACTGTATATACATACACAATAAATTCAAGCATGTTTAGAATAAAAATCTTTTTGTCTATTTTTTGTGGGGTTTTTTGAGATATGGTCTCTCTTTGTAGTTCAGGCTGGCCTTGAACTATGTCTTCCAGGTTGGCCTCAAACTCTCGATGATCTTCCTGCCTCAGCCTCCACAGTGCTGGGACCACAGGCGTGCGCCACCACACCCGGCAAAAATAAAAATCTACGATGATTTACCCAAGGTTTAACTATGGCTCTCTGAAACAGAACGGTGTTTGAGAAGATACCTGAAGTTTCTGGATAGTGTGGTCTCTGATCAGAACACACAAGACACAGCAAAAATGTTGACACTAAAAATGACACCCTGTTGCCATTAACATCACGCCCCCTGCACTGAGGTGGCTGACGTCATGAACCCCATCCCTCCTCGTAAGTTCTTCCCCAAGTCCTCAGGGGACAGCAGGACGACAGTGTGCAGACGCCTTACCTTCGGAAGCAGCCCTGGCACCGGCCCTCACGCTCAATGTAGTTCCACAGGCCAATGGGCCGGCCGTTCAGGTAGGCCTCCCCCATGCAGCCTTTAAAGTGGGTGACCTTCACGGCCGGAGATTTCTAAGGCAGACAAACATGCAGAAACCGAGGGAGAAATTCTCTAAGTACACGGAACTTCTCCCCGGGAGCTCCTGCCTAACAGATCCGAGTTCTGAGAGGACGGCATGCAGAAAAACCAGGAGTGTGTACGTGACACCCTAAAGGACTGAGGACTGGACAGGATCTTAGAGATCACACCTCAGTGATCCAGCTGGGTCGCTGGAGAGAAAGACCCAAAAGGGAGAGAGAACCTCGCTCGCCCACCAGAGCCAGGTCCTTGTCACTCAACTTCGTGGGGGCCAGGACCATGGATGGCATGGAATTGACCCCACGCACTCTTTCGAGAAACAACCATCAGTGTTAGTCTAGCACCAGAGTTGCAGCAGAGACACAGACGTCACAGAGATTAATACAAAATACTGAATTCCCCGTTTCAACATTGGAAGGGAAGGCCAAATAGCAAACTGAACATGAGCTTCTCTCCCTTCACATGGTGACCAAGCGTGATCCACCCCGGCAGAACAAGCCCAGCCCTGCACGTGCGTGGCCGCAAAGCACAGGAAGAAGAGCAGTGAAAGCCTCAGGTGCCCACGACATGTGCAGCGATTTCACATCTCATTTCCATGCACAGGCGAAACCAGCCGAGCAGTGCTGTTCTGGCTTGCACAGTGTCACCTTGATCTGTCCTCCGAGTCCTCCGACGAACACGAGTGTGGAGTTGTTCACATCCAGAACTTTCGCCGCCCCTGGGGACCTGCTTGTCTTCACCCGTGGCTCCTGAGTCGAGCTTGTGTCCTTCACGCTCAATGAGCCAACGTTCCCAAACCTGAGTCATGAAGCGTGGCAGAAGGAATTTTCAGAAGCTCACACTCACACAGACAGACACACTCACACACAAAGACACACACACGTGTCTGAATTCTGAAAACATAAGAAGACCCCACTAATGGTGATCCTCCTGCCTCAGCCTGCAGAGAGCTGGGATTGCAGGTGTGTACCCCACAGAGTTCCTACCAGGTTTCTGTTCACTTCCTTTCACTAGGGAGGACGAAGCATGTTTCCAGGTTGGCTGCCTCAGATTTAGACTTTCTAAAAATAACACTATAAAAAGAATCTGAACTTCTAATATTTCCTTCTTTTGATCATTGATTTGGTAAGGAAGTTTATTTCCTCTGCAGTAAGAAGAAAACCAAATCCTCGTGTGCATAGTTAATCTAACCAAGTGTTCTTTGATCACAATCTGACTGTCCAGGATTCCGGAGCCTATTTATTATGATGTTTAAGAGAGAGGGAGGAGCTGGGCTACCTGGCGGCCTGGATGCTGTACCACCTGCCGTCGTCCATCCGGAGGTCTGGGAGCTCCAGCCGCGTGGCCCCAGAGCCTAGGTCCCAGAGGAAGGCCACCTTGCCCCGCCGCGTCTCCACTGCAAGGAAGTCGGCCTGGGGACAGTGTGAGAGGAAGGCGTCGACACCCTGCTGTCTGCCTGCCACCCAGGCCCGCCCTCCCCGCCGAGCTACCTCTTCAGCTTTGCTTTTTTGAATTGTTTCTGAGATAGGGTCTCACTGCATAGTGCAGGCTGGCCTTGGATTATGTACCCCAGGCTGGCCTCAAACTCTCAGCGATCCTCCTGCCTCGGCCCCCGGGGTGCTGGGATTATAGGGATGCCCCACCATGCCTGGCCTCAGCTTTTACTTTTTATTTTGAGACAGGGTCTCACTAAATTGCTAAGTTGCCCAGGATAGGCTCAAACTTCTCACGCCTCCTGCCTCAGCCTCCCAGAGTGCTGGGTTTACAGGTGTGCACCATCATGCCTGGCTCCAAAGACTTTCAAGAATGAGTTCTTATAGCATTTTCTCTACCCTTAAAAGAAAATGCAGAAGCCCAAAGGGTTTTTTGCCCTTTTTGGCAGTGATGGGGAGGCTTCTGGCCTTGTGCAGGGTAGCCCAGCCCTCTACTAAAGGAGTTTTACTCCCAAGCCCAAAAGACTCTGCTCTTCTGCCTGTAAATTCCCCTCCCTGGGGCCAGGCGTCAGTCAGAGCCCTGGGGACAGTGGCAGCTTGGACATTAGCGCCTGCCCTAGCAGGCAGGGCCTCCCAATGTCTCCCATGAAGTCCCCAAGGAGTGGGAGGAGGCAGCGGATGGAGATGTGCAGGCCCAGTGCAGAAGGTGGGAGCCAGGGTGTGTGGAAATCGGCCCAAGGGTGCGCTCCGACGGGCACAGCCTGTCCCCGGGCCCTGACCTGTTCTTCGGCCACAGCCCGGCATCAGGGGTCCTCCCCAGGAGCCCGCCCTCTGGGAACCCAGGATGCTGCTGGCTGGAGGAGCCTGGGGACGCTGACGACTCCGATGCCCGTGACCTTGGAGTCCCAGAGGGTATCGGGCAGCGTGTTCTGGGCCTATGGCTTGGATTGGAGCACAGAGGGCAGCATGGATGGGAAACGCTACACTCCTCCTACAGCCCTGCATGGTGCAGGTTACTTAAGTGAAAGCTAGCACTTCAGCAAAGTGTATTCCTGTGGAAGAATGAGTGATTCCACGGATGCTTGGTTTTCTTCTATTCATCAGGAAAGTGTACTGTGGAATCGCACACCTCCACGGGTCACTTACTCCACTGCTGCTGCCCAGGTAGAAGAGGAGGTTGTCCGGCTCCTGTGTCTTCACATTCAGAGTCAGGGTGTTGTAGTTGCTGGAGGAGATCGGAGGCTGGTAGGCCCGGACGCAGTCTCGGTCTGCAGATACCGCGACTTTGATCTGCAGGAGGAGAAGCAGAGTGCAGTCCTTCAGTGACACACAGGGCAGCTCTCCGGCGGGGCACGGGGGCACTGTGCCAATCTTCACCGTGAGGCCAGTTCCCCGTCTTGAAACACAGAATGCTTTGGGCTTCATGAAACAAGAAGTTAGACTACGGCTGGAATAACTGTACTTAGTGATGTATTTAAATATGAGAAATCAGTTCAGCTGGTTTGTAACAGGGTATTTTATACAGGAAATGTGATTTATTTAATTCTTTAAAGACAAGGGGCCTACACCCTGGACTCCTTTCACCTGACCCCAGAGGGCGTCTGCTGATTGTCAAAGCTCCTCTCTGGAGCGCAGCCGGAGCCTGTGTGACGGAAGCTGTCTATCAACCCTTTTCTTACCCTTGAATTTCTCCAGGGGCCAATGTTTTATGCGTCTGGTGATGGGAATCTGGGCCATATTTGTGTGGATACAAACTGCTTCCTCAGACTCCCAGAGGGTGAGGCCCATACTGCAAGCGTACTGAAGAGTGCTTGGATTATTAAAATGAACATGGTGGAAGAAAGACCACCCTATGCAACCAGTGAGACGCAGAGTGACAGTAACACTTAGGCCAGTGCCGTCCACACCCGCAGGGCGGCAGTCATGAAGCCCGGACCAAGGCAGACTTCAAAGCGGCTCCTCACAGGCTTCAAAAAGGCTCAGACAAGGCCAGAGGGGGCCGGGTTTACAGAGCTGAGGTCTGCAGAGGTCTGGGGACCCGTGTGACAGGGGCCGCGTCTGGCTGTGGGGTCACCAAGCCGGGGGTCCACTCACCGAGGCTGCCTGTTTCCGGGCCTGGCTGATCAGCAGTTTAATTTCTGATAAATTTCTGCTCAGGTTCTCCTCTAACATTCTCAAAGGCTTCAACTGATCAAATAAAAGGTTGGCTTGTGCCTCCGCGTCTCTAACCTTCTTTCCGGCCAACAGAGCTAACAAATGCAATGGGCGAAGGGGTGGCAGCAGAGGCGGGAGGAAAAGAAGATCAATAAATTGCTCATTAGTAGTGCACTGGATAAAACCAAATCTCCTAAGAATCAAATCCCTGCAGTTTAGAAACTCTCTCGAATGCCCCAGAGATCTCCAAGGTCTTTCTCTCCCTCTTTCCATGCACATTTGCTCTCAGGTTTTAGGACAGCAGCTGGGAACAGGCCAGCCCGACCCACAAGCCCGGAGGCTGCGACGTACTGGTCACCGCGGAGTCCCGCAGCCGCCCCTGTGTCTCCTGCATGGTGGCGTTCACTCTGGCCAGGCCAGCTGCCGTGTCCAACAGCTTCCGGCTCAGTCCCATGACCTTCTGCACTGCCCTCGCTGCACTCTGACTGGCAGATTCGGCCAGTTCTTTGCTTCCAGCTGCTTGGTCTCTGGCACCTGAAATAAATGTAAGTACAAGGACGCACTCGGTGTGGAAGTGCAGCCGACGCACTTCTGCACAGAAGCACGCAGCGGTGACTTTCTTGACTGCTGAACACAAAATAGCGCTTCTTGCTTTTCATGGCAAATATGCAGGCTGCACAGTCTATGCTCCAGTGGCCCCATTCAGGGACAAACGAAATAATCTGGGTGGCAGTTCTTTGCAGTGAGATTTCAATGCAGTGTAACCACAAAAGCAGAAGCTAATGGGCATGTGCTCGGTCAGTTAGGCAGTCATCATCAAAGCATCATTATTTGGGCTGGGCCCTTCTCTACTACATCTTCTCGTCTTGGTTTTCTTTTTTTCTTTTTTTTCTGTACTAGGGATTGAATCCAGGATCTCTGCATGGAGCTAGACTTCCAGCCTGCCCTTTTTAAGTTTCTATTTTGAGACAGGATTTTGCTAAGTTGTGAAGTTGCCCAGGCTGGGCTTGAACTTGAGACCCTCCCCTTTCACCTCCCAGAGGGCTGGGATCACAGGTGCGAACCACCACGCCTAACTTCATCGGGGTGAAACGTTGTCCAGCCACGCTGCTCCGTGTCCGGATGAGAAGCTGCCGGAACTTCCATCTCGGTGGAGAGGGAGGTGCTATGCGCTAGAGAAAATGGCGTCTGCCCCAGCATGCCCTGGCTGCCAGAAATAACAGCAGAATAGAGACCAAATGGCCACAAAAAGGTAAACTGGAATTCGGTTATTCAAGAAAAATCCAGGTGAGGCTTTTTAATGAGAATTAAATCCAAGGCCTTCACACTGAGCTACACCCAACCCCAGCATCCTCAGTCCTTTTTATTTTGAGATAGGATCTCACTGAGTTGCACTCTCCTGCCTCAGCTTCCTGAGTTTCTTGGATCACAGGTGTGTGCTACTAGATCTGGCAAGGAGTTTTTTCCTGCTCTTATTACTTCTTTTTAAAATCGGTACACGTTTGCATAGAGATTATATTCCTCAGGGGACTCCGGTGCACGTACATAACTCACACCTCAGCTCTTTTTCATCCCCTTTCCCTCCATTCCCTCCCCCTTCCCAGCATCTCTCGGTCCCTGTCCCTTTCCCAAAAGATCTATCTCTTTATTTCCAATTATCTATCTTTTATTTCCCTCTTTATTTATACTTCGGGGTTCTCATATAAGAGAAACTATACAATATTCAAGTTTGTGTGTCTGATTTATCTCTCTTGACATTATGGACTCATGGTGGATCCATTTTCCTCAAATGACTCAAGTTTCTCCTTCTTTATTGCAGAGTACTGCTCCATGGTATATGAACACCACATTCTGTTTATCCATTCATCAATTATGAACACAGGCTGCTCCCAAGATTTAACTATTAGGAGTTGGGCTGCTATAAACATGTATGCATGGGTCACTGTAATATCATGACTCACTCTTTCAGGAAGATACCTAGAAGGGGAAGAGCTGGGTCAAATGGAATTTCTAGTTTTAGTTTTTTGAGGACTCTCCACACTGGTTTCCATGGCGGTTGTACTAGTTTACATTCCCTCCAACAAAAGCATTTTTTGTATTTAAGGGCAGTATTACCCTTTGAAAAAAATGTTTAATCACACATGGGGCAAACCATTAACACTAGAAAAAGCTGGCTAGAGTGTACAGGTGTTCTTTGTACCCTCTTGCAACTTTCCTGTAAGTTTGAAACTGTTTCCAGATAAAAAGTTGTGTTTACTCCCAATATACCATACAGTATAACCATGGGGGGCAAAAAGAAAGAAAAGGACAATAAAATTCCAGATCATAAAAGGCCCGACCGATAAAGGAAGGAGGTCCAGGGCACCCCGGCCCAGTTCCCTCCAGAGGGACCTGCAGCAGATTCCCACACACCTGAGCGCCCAGGAGGCCTAAATGGGGGACAGAGTCTCAGCAGAAGGGAAGGGGGCCCAGAGATGGAGGGAGAAGGATGAAGATGTATCATGTACGTGTGCCAGCTCCCCACAATGGATGCAAACACCATGTACTGGAAAAGGGACTAAACAACAACAAATAAAGGAGTAAGAGGTCCCAGGTAAAGTAAATAGCTCACAGCAGCACAATTCACTTGTATTACATGTTTAAAAAAATATCCTATTTACAATTTTGATGAAGACTACATTTCCAAATCCTCAATGTTACAACAACCAACAGGCCTATCTGAACATGGCTTACTGCTTCAGGAAGGAAGGTTACTAGGCAAGAGTTCTTTAATTTCCCACATTTATAAAGACTGACATTTCCTCTGAAGACACATTTATTTTATCCCCTTTTACCTGTTGACCTCTGTGAATGACCCTCTGTCATCTAAGCAGCAAGCATTTAAGAGTAGCGTACAGAGAGCAGCATACGTCTCTGAGACTTTTGTTTCTAAGAGTAGACTCTGGGTTTCAATGCAGGTGTTCGGATGTTGTGTTAAAAACATCAGTGATCTTCACTTTCAGATCCTATCTCTTCACAAGGGAAACCCTGATCAATCTTGGCCTCCTAATTGATCAGTTAGGGCCCCTAATCAGATCGGAGGCAGGAGCGCCTCAGAAGAAGGCACTAATGAAACCGAGACACTGCTTTGGACTCACCTTCCGGGATCACTCTCAGTGTTGAGAGTGATTGACTGGTCTGCCGGGCAAGTCTACCCACTGTCTCCTGAACTCTGCTTGCTGTGCTTTTCAATTCACTCAGCTTCCGTGTAAGACCTATTTAAAGAGCAGAAAAATGCTCCCTTTTAGTTAACTCACTAACATGTTTCCTAGGCAACCGCTTGGCCACTCCCAATCCACCCTCCGCGTCAACAGCTTTTACAGATGCCCCAATATTGAAAGGTTTTCCAGGAAGATTTGGCACCATTCATCACGGAGATCACCAGTGTGTCTTCAGCTCCCTTGACCATTTTTCCACTTCGCCTGTAACCTTTCTCACAGATTTCTTCTTGATTTTCACGCCCAAGACTAGAGCTGGGGTGAAGCACCATGCCCAACACTCAGTGGCCCGCAGATGAGCCACTCCCTGTCCACGCCTGGTCGTGGCCACTTCCTCCTCCAGACTGTGTAGCCCCGTGCAGGCTCCTCCTTGGGGATCTGCCCAGCTCGGGCCCCCTCCTGCCCTGGCAACCCTCTGACCCTTCTCACTCCCTTCTGCCCACCAGGTTGGGACTCAGTGAACCTCCTTCCAGTTGAATCAAGGCTGTGTGACCAAAGCTTCTGTCCCTAATACTCGATCACATTTGAATTTTGAATTAAAATATGAATTTTAATTTGTCAGGAAGTTCATGATTTCATAGATGATAAAATACTTCTATGTGTATAAAGAATCCACAGCTCCTCCACACGGACGCCAGTTTTGGACTGAATGTTATGCTCATCCAGGCCATGAGATGATGACCTAAGTTCTAAACTGGCTTTCAGAGAAACACATCTAACTTCTGGACTCAGGCAGCTGTGGGAGGATCCAGTCCTGGACTTGGAACCGGTCCGAAAAGGATAGGAGCTTTGTGCATGGTCCCTGCTCACCCTGCAGCAGAAGTTCTGATGTTTCTGACTCAGTAGAAGACAGTAAGGGGAAAGCACACAGTGTATAAAGAGAAACTAAGCCTGTATCGATGCTCTTACACAGCAGAGTTTTGCTGCCACTTTGCATCATGCTTACTGAATGCCTCTTACATACGGCAAGTGGTTGCTTCTTGAAACTTTTAAGACAAACTGAATGCACAGGCATTTTTGAAGTAGTTAGATGCTTTAGGATTTAATCCAGTAATCACTTGAGGAGCATCTGCCATGAGTCTGACTCAGTGCCAAGGCTGTGAAGAGGGCAGAAGCAGGACCAAACACAATACAGCCTTCAAGGTGGCAGGAAATAAAGAGGGCCAAGCAGAGGGGCTCCTGAGATCAGGGGTCAGTCAACAAACACAGGAGGGACAGAGGGAGGTCCAAGCTCAAGCAAGGAAGGTGCAGAGACAGGCGCATACACCGCCAAATCAGTGAGCGCCGGAGTTACACGAAGCTCAGATGATGAAAAACAGGAATGCTGATGTGACAAAGGAAGGCCCCAGGGAAGGAGAGCAGTCTGAGGGCTCCTTCCCACAAAACCCCAGCCATACACTGACCTTGCTGCTTCCCGCTCAGGCTGCTGCTGTCCTCTAGAAAGCCAGAGGCATGCCGCACAGCCTCCTTCCCCCTGGAGACGAGGGACGCCGAGGACTGTGAAAGAGAAGGACTTAAATTCGGTGACCGCAGGACACCAAGGAATCCTGCTGGGGACAGAGAGGGCAGCCCAGAGAAAGGCCGCCAGCCGAGCTCCAGGAAGATCGCCAGCCAGAGAACTGATGGGGAAGGCTCGGGGTGAGGGAGGGGCAAGGACTCAGAAATCTCTGTGAGTGAATACAGAACAAAAGAATCTTCACCACAAGTACAGAAAAATATCTCCAGTAGAATTCAGGCAACACTGTCATTCCTATCTTAAGCAATTGTGACATTTCCCTCGTCTCTTCAATGCTGGATCCGGTCTTCATGAAGAGCATTCATGACTAAGAAAATTAAACGAGCTGGGTTTGTTGGTGTGCGCCTGCAATCCCAGCTCCCAGTGAGGCTGAGGCTGGAGGATGGCTTGAGCCCAGGATTTCAAGGCCAGCCTGGGCAATGCAGTGAGACCATGTGTTTTGAAAAATAAAACTAAAATGTCTATCACATGCCAACAGATACCATGAGTAACTCTGCGAGCAAAGAAGCTGGAGGAGTGTAGAATCGGCGCAGAGTGGTGGTCCCAGCCCCCCGGAGCTCCTCTGCAGGGTGGGAGCGGGACTGCACTCCCGGGCCTGCCCCCTTCTTACCAGCCGCGTCCTCCTTGAGGTCTCCTGCGCATCTATGGCCAGGCTCTCAGACTGTCCCATCAGGCTCTGGATGTCGGAGTGGACGCGCACCGCACTGGTGGCGTTCAGGGACACGTGTCGGACATTTTCAAGGCCGCTGTCAAATCAGCATATTTAGAGATGCTGTGGTGAAGTGTCCCGAATCTGTAGTCACTCGTAAAAATGACAAGGGCCCACTACTGAAATCCACCTAGTTGAGCAGCAAAGAATGGCACGCAATGGATTTCCTTCTAAAGCCCAAAGTCATCTCCGAGAAGCAGCTGTGGCATCGGCCCGTCACCTCCCATTACGGAAGGAAAGGACTATGGCTGTGTCCCTTCCTGTCACCTTCCAAAGTCACCCCTGCAGGTGCTGGGGGACCATGGTGAGACCGCATTGGTTCTCAGCTCTGCTGCAATGCACCTGCTAATTTCCAAACAGCCTTCCTGCACCCACACAGGGGTGCCGGCTCTCCTGCCTCAAATGGCACAGCCCAGAGGATGAAATGCAGTCTCCACGTGGCGGGAGACTAGATAAGGTTCCACCGGCCCGACCGAATCCGAACGCGTGGCAAGGCCCAGGGGCTGCCTGCTGATAGCAGTGCAAGTTCACCCCGCTCTCCTTATCTGGAAAATGAAATCTGACAATCAGCACAACTTTGCCACTGCGGAACTCACTTCATCTTCTTTCCGAAGTTATCGAGCCGGACAATCCCCAGGGCAGACACTGCCGTTACTGTCTGTTACGATTGAGGGGCAAGATTTGGCGATTCCCAATAAAAGATAAGAATGTTATCGAACATCATGGAGCCTGCCAAATTGCCTTCACCACTCTTACGCTAAGTAATAAAGATCTTCTTCTAGCTAGGGAGTCCGAATCTTTTCCTCTTTCGAGAAGTGATGAGTAAAAAGAGAGAAGCTGAATATCAAATTCCATTTGCTATCCCGGCTCCCTGCGGCATGGGTAGGGAGCAGCATTCAATCCAGCAGGTAATTTACGCCACGGGCCACCTTAGATCATTTTTAATTTCTCTGGCGGCGTAAGCTAATCTTTAATGGCAGCGTGTTCCAAATGGGGAGATGTCTTTCCCAGGGGCAGAATACACCCCACACAAACACACACGCTCGTGTCCCAGTGTATTTGGACTTTCTGCATCCACTATTTGGACCAAAGTTTAAAGAAATAAATTTACCAGTTAACACCCCAGATTGTGTAAAACACAAATGAGATCTGAAACACTGTCTTATGTATGGTTTGGGTCTAGATGACCCCCAAAGCCTCAGGAGGTCATAGGTGGCTTTTTCAGAGGTCACTGAATCTGGAATGTGTGATGCTGGGATTAAGGGCGTGTGGTTACTAACCCAGTCCACTGATTGGTTTGGCACCGCCCTAATCCTGGCATTCTGGATGGGATAAGAGTGGCAGAAAGACACCGTTAAGGTCCCCTATTGCTTTTGCTACAGTGTGGGCACCATGACCTGCTTCTCCTCTGAGAAGCCCCTTTGCTGTGTGCTACTCTGCCTTGGAGCCAGCTGAGTATGGACTGAAACTTCTACAAACTGAGCCAAATAAACCCTTCCTCCTTTAACTTTGGTTGTTAGGTACTTTGTCTCAGCAGCGAGAGAAAAGTAACCAAGACACACTGGTTCCTCCAGTTGCTGTATATTAAAATCACCTGGACATCTTTAAAACATAACAAAGCCCAAGCCACATCTCGGAGCACTTAAGTCACAACCTTGGGGGACAAAGGAGAAGGACAAAAGCATCAACATTTCACCAAAAGCCCTGGTCAGTCTCATGTGCATGAGTTTGGTGACCACTGGCCTGAAACTGTGCTCCAGGTTTAAAGGTACTTGGGACATATTTCACCCATGTCCAAAGTCACAAGTTAAAATAACTGTATCACAGTGGCAGGCCTTCAGACAGGGGAGAATAATCGGGGTGGCATCTTCCAGGGCTCAGAAAAGAGACCGACACTTCTACAGGTCGACAGTGGGCTGCCGTGTCTTTCATTCAAGTTATCAGCTCCTTAGAGGCAAGGGCTGCAGAGAAGTTAGCACCCTCATGCAACCCCACACCACCTAGCAAGCCCTCAGCACTCAGCAGCTGTTCACTGAAGCAGGGGCAGCTGGGTATCATCACGCACTACGTGTTTCATTCCTACCCATCCAGTTTGCGTTTCCCATGGTATATTTACACCAGTGGTAAAATAGGTTAGCAGACACGGGAGGAAATGCGATGTGCTGTGTAGGTAAAACAAAGTGTGACAAAGTATGTCTCACCTGTCCAGGACACCTGCTAACCTCTGGAGCTCAGCGGCATGACCCTCGGCTCCGTAGACCCGGTCGATCACCTTCCTCCCGGACATCTGCATGACCAGGCCATCCACGTGGCTCCTCACTTGGGCTGTCCACAAGAGCAGCTCATCGCGCTGATGCTCCCCCTGCTGCACGGATGGAGGGATGAACGCTGCGGACGAGCATGTGCCCATCTGAAGGTACACGTGTGCACAGGGATCCTGGGAAACCCACGGCCTCCCAGCTGGAACTCACCGCCAGAGTGGCCTGCAAACTGCCGGCCTGGGCAGTGGCTGCGCCCATCAGCTCCCTTCCTTCAGCAACCAGCTCTGAGGTCACATTGAGCTGTTCCTGAATATGCAGCTTTGTATCCTGCAGCAAAAATCACTTTTTAATGATGCTGCCTAAGAGCAAGTCAGCATCTTCAGCCACCGGCCAAAGCGCGTCCTCGGGGCTGACTCTGTGAGAAGCTGGAAGCTCTCCTGTCTCAGGGCATCAGATGACCAGTGCTACCGCAGAAGGAGAGCAGGGGACTCACGCTGAAGTCTCGCAGGTTAGCCTCGCTGAGGAGCAGCAGGTGGGCGCCCTCCCGGACCTTGGCCTCCGCCTCCCTCAGCAGCTCCCCCGCCGCCTGCAGCTCACCGACGTGCTTGGAAAGGAGGCGCCCCACTGCTTCCTTCAGAACTTCCAGCTCTTCCTGTGGCTGCTGGAAATTCTTCTGAACCACAGACAGCACATCTTCAGCAGCCCTGACAAATGCAAACACTTCACACAGTGAGTCAACGGACAGCAAACCTATCTTCTCTGAAATGGAGGTGGAAGGGACTTTTCAAAAGACATCCATGCCCAGTTTCCTCTTGAAACCCTGTGATACATCAGCACTTCCTACAGTGTCAAAGACAGCCATGGGAACGGCAGGTTTCTACTTTATCCTTCAACTATCTTTGCACACCAGCTTACTGGGCTTAAAAAACTGGGACTTATTCTGTTAGGGATGTAATCTTTAATTATTATAATGTGGCAAGAAACTGAAAGTACAAGGCTATTCAGTGTTTTCTATGAGTTTATCCATTTATCTATACAACATAGGGTTTTCCATAGTTGGGTAGTAAATGTTTTATAAAAGCTTTCAAGTTCAGATTGCTTAAAAGATGTATTAGTGCTATTAGTAAACACAAGCTTTAGGAAATCAAAAGATTTTTTCCAATTCCTTTATATACAGAAGTAATTAAATTGCTTTCTTAAATCCATTTTAAATGTACAGCTGCAGAGCTGAATAATGAAATTCTATATCTCATATCCTCGAAGTGGTTAGATCTACCCCATGGATTCTCTGCTTCAGTGTGTCCGATAACCTTAAAAACAGCCTTGGAAAGGCCCTGCAAACACCCCCGGCTTCCCAGGCATCAGAGCACTGGGTTAAAACACAGCAGAAAGCATTTCAACGACAGGCATTTGCACTCTGACATCAGGAGTTTTTTCAACTCTTACAACTTCTAACTCCAATGAACATGCTGTGCTAGGAAGCAAGCAACAAAAACTAAAGGAGAGTTCATGCAAAACACAAATCTAAACCGTTAATTTTTGTAAATAAGAGCTAGCTTGCTTTCTTTTTTGTTGTTGTTGTTGATACTGGGGATTGAACCCTGGGCCTTTTGCACTGAGCTACATCATCAACCCCTTTTTATTTTTTGTTTTCAGACAGGCTCTTACTAAGTTGTTCAGTTGCCCTGGCTGAGCTCAAACTTGTGATCCTCCTGTGGCATCCTCCAGGGGCTACCGCCTCCAGGCCCTCACGGATGCTGCCGGGGGCTCAATGACCAGCTCTGTGTGCACCCCCCCAAGCACACCCCTCCTGGGCCCACCTAGCAAAGCACCCAGAATGCTGGAAAGGATGCCCGATGCCAAGATAAGGCCCACACCTAACCCTGTAGCGTGCTGCCGGGAAGTGCACATTGCTCTCAAAAATAAACTGCAGGGCCAGGGATTTAGCTCAGTGGTTCCACCGCCTGCCTCGCAAGCGCAAGCACCCAAGTTAGATCCCCGGTATCAAAATTAAATAAAATAAAATAAATAAATTAACTGTAAAGAATGATTTGCAAATGCATATCAGGAATCCTCAAAATGCAACTTCTTTGACTAAACAATTCTACTTCTTTATATCTACCCTGATAAGATAATGACCTGAAAGACAGGAAAAATCATATATATAGTATAAATGCATAATTATTTAAATTTAAATAAAGATATATAGAAAAATATAGAAAAAATTGAACAAGACATCTATTACAACGTAATTTAAAATAGCAAAAAAATGATAGCTTAAATATACCACTAGAAGCTGGGTGTGGTGGCACTCACCTGTAATCTCAGCACTTGGGGGGCTGAGGCAAGAGGATCTCTGAGTTCAAGACCAGACTGAACTACATAGCAAGACTTCGTCTCAACAAAATGAAACAAAACAAAACAGTCCGGAAAGAACAGAGGTCTTCTGAAGGTCCATATTGCTCAAACAGCCCTTAGGAGGACCCTCATCACAACCCAGCAGAAAGACAACATTTGCTCTCCCATCGCATAGTAACTGTGTGAAAACATCAAGAAAAAGCCCGAGAGATCCCAGCTCCCTGCAACTGTGGACCACAGTGCTTTGGGTCTGCGTCCTCTCGCATGGGGGCTCTCAGAGGGTCTGTGCAGACAGCCCGGTCATCCAGTCTGGTGTCTGTCTTAGAGTCCATGGCCTGAGTACGGACAGACTGTATTTCCTCCTAGGAATGACTGGCTTGTACTTGATGTATAATAAACAGTGCCACAAAGCTCTTTTGTTTGTGGCAGGTGAAGCCTGATTTGAGTCGCAGGAAAACCCTGACCAAACAGTACCAAGACGGACTGTACCAACTGTCCACACGCGGGACCAGCACGGGTCTCGGGTGCCCTCTCCCTCCTACCGTAGGGCACCCCGTGAGCACGTTCTCCCCATGGCTCCTCCCTCTCCCCAGCACCCAGCTTCCTGTCTTTGCCTGGAGATGGGGTTGTGAACGGAACCCGGGAACTTACTTGAGCTCCAGGGTGATGTTACGGAGCAACTGCGTGAACTGCCTTCTCTGCATCCTTTCCAGCAAAGATGCAATGTTGTGTTGCATATTCTGAAGAGTAGAATTGGGGAGCCAGACATCTTCATCTAGAGTCTGATTCAGATTTATGGCCTTTTCAAGGATTTCTATGGAGAAAATTCACCGAATCTTTAGTAAGTCTCTGCAAAGTGGACAGTGCTCAGCACTTTCTCCCCTGAGGACCACTCTGTCACCTGTGTGCGGGGCTGGGCACCCCCAACACAATACCCACAAACTTGGGGCTGCTGGTGGACTCAGCTCCCATGGGGGCAGGGTCCTGCGCATCATTTTCCCAGGACACGTCGGGTACAGACACGGAAGCTCCTCTGCATGAATAAACTACTCTTTTTATTAAATATTTTTGTTCAATAATTTCCTCCCTTTTTGCCCTACAAAATCAGATCTGCATTGGATTCTGTACTTTTTAAGCTCTTACACTATAATCCCCAAAGAAAAGCAAGAATATGTTTCTGATAGCTAGGAGAAGAGCAATAGCTTGCTGAAAGCCAGACACCTAAGTGAGAGTGGATGACTTATACCCATGAATGTGGGGGTGTGCTTGGGCACTGAACCAAAGCCCCAAACCCTGTGAGCTCCAACTCTGGGGACAGGATGGGAGGGATCATGACTCCTCCTACCAAACAAGATCCCACTCAAGTCCCTCCCACTCTACCTCTGCTGTTCATCTGCAGCCGCTCAACAAACGCAGCAAGATCCTGACTCTGCTGCAGGCTCCTCTCTGTGGCCCTGCCCACCTGCTGGCTTCGCGTGAGCACGCTGGTCAACTGAGGAAAGAGGTCTCAGGTTAGTGGGACCTCCAATAATGTGCAAACACAGGTACCGCAGCTGCCGCCTCTCTTGAGAAACATAACCAAGGCTAGGGTGCAGCTCAGCGGCAGAACACAGGGCCCTGGCTTCCATCCTCAGTGGCACCAAAGATACACATTACAGAACATACAGTAATGCTGTAAGTGTCATGGAAACCAAGGTTAGTACTTCTGGGATGGAAACTGACCAAGAGGTTAATGAACTAATTTACTCATTCAACACAAGAGAAGACACGGTGCTTTTACAAGCAGCCTAACCATCATGCCACAGAATCTCCCCAGTGTGCTTGAACATGTCTGGATGGTGTGGACTGCCACATACACCTCAGCTTCATGCGTGCATATACACTATGTATTCATGTGTGCACACACCAGGATCCACACCTCCGTACAGCGTATCTCACCTGATGCTCCTGGACCACAATGAACAAAATCATTTGAGGTTAAATCCAGCACAAGAGAAAACGGCGCACTCTAGATACTCAGTCGAGGAGCCATGTAAGAGGCTGACGGCCCAGAGGAGCGCGCTGTACCGGCGAGGAGCAGCTCACTCTAACCAGGCCCAGAGCCAGCCGCTGTCATTACCACACACTTCCACACAGCTGTGGGCTCTGCACACCAGCACCACCACAAACACAAGCGAAGCCATGGGCTACAACATCAGGACAGCTAGGGCTCCTCAGCTTCTGATAATCCGAGGGATTGCTGTCGTGTGCTGGGCACCACTCACCAGAAGCGTGAGCGCATGACTGCACACAGAACGCAGCGCCAAACATCCCCATCTGCGTGGCTCTGAGCCAGTCCCCAGGGCGAGGGAAAAGGGTGGGGCACACACACTGCACACCCGGCTCCACCAGGCAGCGGAGCTGGGCACCCCCAAGCGACAGAGCTAGTGGGCATCAGAACACGGGTCCTTACAGAAATGACAGTGAGCTGCTGCCTAAAAGCCGCCAGCCCACAGGCTGAGACCCGGCCGCCCCCAGCTGCTATTTTTATTGGGAATTTCATAACTGGTAAAGGGAACAGTTCTCTGTCTGTCCAAGAATCTAAAGTAACTCAGACTAGGTCTAAAGGTGTTTTCTACTCAAGACCAAAGAAAATCTTCTTTCATGGACACAGAGCACTTATTTTAATCAGCTTCTCGCTTAATGCCCAATGTTTGCTTCATGAGGTTGGAAAAGCCCCCTTAACCCCTTAGACTCTTCTCAAACCTTAGTTAATGCTGAATTAACCGTTAATCTGGGGGTGCACGACGGTGTGTGTGTGCTGAGATCTGTAAGTGGCAGCTGTAATTTGCACTTGGGGAGACTCTGGCGGATCACTAAAGCTGTTCATCTGGCCTGAGCCAAACAGAACAAAAAATTCGCTGCTGTCAAGACCCCCTCCTTGGCATTCCAGATGCTATGATGAAAACCGCCGGGCCAAAGTCTGAATGCGGCAGAGACCACACGCTGAAGTGCTCCAGGTGCCCCGCCTGCCTGCAATTTCGGGAGCATCAGCAGCGTTCAGTGGAGAACGTGGAGCTCCCAGTGCTCAGCTGCAGAAGGAATTCAGGAGGAGGAGGGGCTGCAGTCCTTTTACCCCACCAGCCCGGGGCTGAGAGAAGACAACGGGAGTCAGACAGCAAAGTGACTTCCAGCTCATCCTCAGCAGAGAGGCAAACAGAATCAAGTCACAGGCTTTTCCCCACCAACCACGGAACCGGCAGGATTCAAAGCCACTCGATGACAAAGCACCCAGCACAGTGGGGGAACAGGGACCCAGCCCGACCCAGTCAGAACCCACCCAGCCCAAGCAGCCGCCTGAGGCAGTGGGGAGCGGGCTCTGTACCTCGCTTTGCAGGTCATTTGTTTGCTTTGCGACACCTTCAACTTGGATTTCTACCAAATTCTTTTGGGCATTTTCTTTTAATAAAGATTCCTAAGAAGAACAAAGGAAACATTACAATGCTTCAAAACAAAATGTTCTTGTTCTTAACAAAGAATCACCTGTTATTTCTTTTTGTTCACAGAAAGAAAGCCTACTTTCCTACTGTCATTTAGAAATAAAGCAGATCGCCTTACCTAGCTTCATTTACAGCCACTTGGCATGATATTTACTAAACGGGTATGCATTTAAAATCTGGTGTATTAAGCACAACTGGAGATTGTTGTAACTCTTAGAGAAAAGTCTGGCTTTATTTCAAAGTCGCGCATTTTAAGTATGATTGCCAAAATTTTCAAAAATGCTTACTCAGCTAAAACTTAAGAACGTATTCAATAAAGAAAAAGCTTTATCTTTATTAATAATTAAAGTGCTTAATTTATGCCACCACTTTATTTGCCTGTGTGGCTTTTTTAAACCTCACAACAGCACAGTGGTGTAGCTGTATTACTGCTGCTGGGGTGAGTCACCTGTTCAAGGTCATCAGGTCAGCAAATAGTGAGGATAACAGAGTTCTCATCCTTACTTCCACTGGGGACTTTATGTAAACAGAAGAACTCATGTAAAGGACTGGCTAATTGGTCTAAGGTAGAGAGTCATTCGAGAATAGTTAACATTTAAATCAAGTATTACCTCACTTGATAAATTTAAAAGTTATAACCCCGGGGCCCAAATGAGCAGAAAATAGAATTTATTGTGTATATAATGGTTGAAAAAGAAATTTAAATCTTTCCCTCTTTTAGAATTTTTTTTTTTTTGTACCAGGAATTAAACTCAGGGCCTTGTGCTTGCTTTTTTAGAATTTTTAATGGAGGCAGAAGTTATTCTCTTTCAAAAACATGCTTTTCTATTTAAGGAAAAATAGCATAAAAAAGTTTTTAAGAGTTGCCTATCCTAGCTGGGCTTGGTGGTGCACACCTGTAATCCCATCACTTGGGAGGCTGAGGCAGGGGGCCGGCCACGAGGTCAAGGCCAGCCTGGGCTACATAGTGAGGCCCTGGCCCCTCCCCCCAGAGAGTCCTCTATCCTTTCTCACTGCTGTTATAGAGAAAGGACCAGTGTACAGGAGAATGGATCACCAAACCAGCCCCATCTCAGATGGCTCTGGAAACAGTCAGTCTAAAACAGGCTTTTATCTAACAGCGGTCATTGAGGGCTGAGCATCCTGTTTATTACCGCACGGCACAGGGAATAGATTATCTCAAATCCTAGGGTACAGGTAGAAAGCACAACCTAAGAATTCTATTTTGTACCCCTGGACTCTAGGTAGGACTAGCACACTGAATGGGAAATGGCTTCGTCTTTGCTGTAACCCAGCACTGCGGGAGAACCTGCCAGATCTGCCACATCTGTGCCAAGACGGCTGCGCTTCCAGCACCTGAGGTTCTCCCAGAGAGGGCCGTGGGTGCATCAGGCCCACGGGCGGAGGTACACGGAGGTCTCTGAACACCACGGGGACGCGGCTGAGAGGGAGAGGGTGCGGCCTCGTCGCTGGTCCCCTCCAGGCAGGGCTGGAAACTTCCCGGGGACGATGGGAGGTGGCCCCAGAGGGAAGCACTCCCCCGACAGGGACTCTGCCTACAGCACGCGGGGCTCTCCGTCTCTGTATTCCTCACACCTACCCGGAGATATTTAGTCGTATTTTCCAGGTTTGACAAAACCCCGTATGGGGCAGGGAAGATCCCGGTGAGGTTCACGGAGAGAACGGCATCGTGGACGCGGTCCAGGTCTTCGAGGAGCACACCCACGCACTGGTCATCACAAGCTGGGAGAGGGCAGGGTGGGTGTTAGCGCAGAGTGGCCCTGCGTCCGTTCTCACGGGGGACCCTGAGGCTCAGATCACAGCAGGGACGTCCTGGGCCACGCAGAAAGGAGCTGCAGAGCCTGGGAGCGGCCCCAGCATGGCCCATTCCGCTGTCCTGACCTTCGAAGCGCCCTGCTCATCTTTAGCTGAGACCAACGCAAGCAAGGTTGAGGGAAGCACACGGGGAAGCAGCCGGGCAGCTCTGCTTATGACAAACACAGAAAAGTGAACAGGCTCCTGGGCACCGTGACCCTCACATCTCCCCCACATGCTCCCCAGGAGCCCTGGCGACTCCCTGGGCAACCACATCTTGCACTTGGCAGTGACAGGAACCAGAACTGGAAAAGCCAACAAGCAAGCACTGAAGCTGCGGTGAAACTGGTAACACCAGCCACAAACCATCAGTGTCCCTCTCCTGTGCTGACTGAGCCTCCGGCCACGAAAGCCCAAGAAATGAGCCAGGGCCGAAATCCCTGTGCTGCTCTGGGGCCAGAGAAACAAGGGCCAGTGCCCCAGGCCCTCCTGCCTCGGCCTGCAAATGCACAGCTAAGGGCCCTTCGGCAGATGCAACCACCATCTAGGCTCCGTTAAAACAACAGCGTAAGATAGAAGGTGCAGCAGGACGAGAGCAGCCTGCTGATGATGGGCCCGCGGCCTCGCTCTCCTCATCAAGGGAAGCACCTGGAGGGAGCCCCACCTTCACCCCGGGAGGAGAAACACCCACAGACACAGCTGCTGTCCACCAGCACGTGCCGCGGCTGGCAGCCATCGCATCGGAGCCCCGTGGCCCCCGGCCTGCAGACGCACTGCCCGGACAGGGGGTCACAGTGGCTGTGCACGGAGCCGTGGGGGCTACAGTCGCACTTCTGGCAGTGGCCGCCCGACAGTCCAGGGTTCCCATGGTAGCCCACGGAGCACCTGCAGAGAGATGCCAGGTACAGACATTAGGTGCAGCCGTGTGCTCAACACCAGTCCCTGTCCAGCACTGTCATTATCCGAGAGCACACAATGACCGCTGGAGACACTGCTTTGGAGCAGTTAGGAGGCCCCGGCCAATCATCCAAATCCACAGTGACTCCCAGAGCAGCCCTGTAACTATGTCCAGGATGCTGCCGGAGGAGCGGGCGTCCCCAGCCCAACAGCGTACCTCTCACAACGCCGGCCCTCATGGCCCACAACACAGGCATTGCACCGGAAGCCACCGTCACCTTCCAAGACGCAGGTGGGACTGAAACTGGAAGAACAGAGGTTTGCTCTTGAATTGTGAGATACACAACTTCAAAGCTTCCTCGATATGCTTATCCATTGTTTGGATACACTGTGGGGGTTCTAAAGTTAAGTGATGACACTGGGTGACCGGACAAGCTTGTTTGAGCTAAAATCTGTTGGGTGAAACCAGTGAAGATCAACATGTAATCAATGTAAGTGTGATCTGGAGCCTTGTTGGCCAGGATAGATAGATAGATAGAGGCCAGGAGGACTCCTCAGCTCTGCTCTGCTTCTGACTTCCTCCTCCTTGGATAATAAGGGGAGAGACTTCAGTGGGAACACAAATAAAGCCAATTCGGACAACACAGAAGGTTTACACACTCACTCTCTTCTTCATAGCATAACAATTTCTTCCTAATGGTTAACTTATCATGCAGGTCTGGGGGACAGTTAACAATTTTTTGACGGAAGAAGTAAAATAGAGTATTCAGACAGCACAGAAATATGCAAACCAGAAAGGTAAACTACCCTTCCAAGCATTCCTCCGGACACACACAGCCATGTGCCTGTGGATACAGATACTCATGTGGAAATGAGTTTTTCTGAAATGGCATCACACTGTGTGTTCAGTTACAGACTTCCGGTGAGCACTGGGCCGACCCTGAACTAACAGAGTCACCGCCTCCTCCGTGAGGGGACAATACTCACTCCTGGAACGTGTCAGCATGTATGTGACCGTCCCTCTGGGCAGATCTGGCAGCTGCCCCCCGGTTTCTCCTGAGCGTGGGCGATGCTAAAAGACACCCATCTTTACACACTCATGCAAGTATCTCTGTAGCACCGACCACAGAAAGTGAGCTTGAGTCAAAAGGTATATACACATTTAATAAACAAATAAGTAAAAACAACAGTGAATTTTAGGCTGCCTGGCTATTTACAAGGAAAGTGGATGTAGTTCCTCTCTCTTTGTCCTTGTGAACAAACACTGCTTAATAAAAGAAGCTTTAAACAAATATTAAAAAGAAAGTTTCATTTAGACTACCCAAAGTTGGTGTTTATGTTCGATGCCCTTGCCATATACTCTAAGTGACAATAACATGCTATTTACGAATGATAATCTTCATTTGAATGAGAGTCCACTGATATTCCACTTCCGATGCAAAGTTCTGGTTCCCTTTTGCATCTCTGTAATTCCAGACTAGTATCCTTCACAGGAGGTAGAAACCAGCCCCAGAGTTATCACTAGGCCCCACTTCCACACTCTTGTCAGGCACCACTCTATATAAATTCTAAACCTATTCCCTTAAACAGAAACTGGATTCTTTTGTATCATTATTCACAAAATTAACATCAACTGTTTATCTCTATGCAGACTGGATATTACATAGCTGGGGGCTAAAATTAGTCTTCAATTTGTTCCATGCTAACACCTAAGAGCTTCATAGATGCCCTGCCTTGGAAGACTCCCCTCAAGTGCTTATGGGAAGGAAAGGCTCTTTCCTAAAGTCAGCCTGGGTCCACAGGGATGACACTGATGAACAGGCCTGGGGAGCTACTCCGAGTAGGGCAGGGCGGCACCTGCGGGCTCACCTGGCAGGGTGCTGGCGGGGACAGGTGCACGGGGAGCAGTCCTGGGCCGTGCCGGTCACCCTCCCGTAGTAGCCGGGAGCACACAGCTCGCAGTGGTTCCCAGCCGTGTTGTCCCTGCAGTTCTGGGGTTCAGAGGAAACAATGGGAACCAGTTAGGAGTCACACCGGTCGGTGCCGCTGAAGCACGGTCACGTTCCTGTCACCTCGCTGCTGCTTTTTTATTATTATTATTCTCAAGGAAAGAGGAGTATTTTCCTTTTCATTTTTCATTCCTGGGAACCATTCCAGCTCTGTGGCCTCCGTGCATCCCAAGACTGCACTCATCCACTCTAGCCTAGAAATCACTAGTACATTCTTCCCAAGGAACTCAGACCCATGACCTAGGGTAGGCAGCTTTCAGAAGCTTACACTGCAACCTAAAATACATGGTACCCAGGAAACGTCTCCAAGTGCCACCTGGGCTTCAGTGACCCCACGCAGGGAGCTGAAGCAGCAAAAGTGCACGGACAGGAGGCTTAGGAAACAGACAGGAGGGGAGAAAACACACGGCTCAGAGCACCACCAGGAGCTCAGCGAGAACCAAGGAGATTGTGGGAAACCCGACGTCCACAGTTGGACCTGTGGTCTTGCTGTGAGAAGACCGCGTGGTTTCTAAACTGGAAGAGCACGAATTGCCATCTGGTTCTGATTCTGAATCTTCTTGTGCTCAGTTCACCGCTGTGCATCTGACGCAATGGGAGGGACGGAGGCCATAGTCCCTGAGCTGGCTCAGGCTGCCCCTTGTTCCCTCCAGGGTGGAGAAGAAGGAGGGAAACCTTTTGGAGTGTTTAAAAAGCGATGCTAAAGTCCCTTTAGAATTAAAAAATAGCCCAGTGTTTTTCATCTTCAACTTCAGCTGATGAAAGTGATTTCACTGGGATCCAGCTGACTCTTTAAGGGACATCGCTTTAGAAGTGACATGTGTGACCTCCTTCTTAAAACATTGTAGAATACTTATTTTACCAACATAGCCCAGAGGTGACACAGAACACGTGTGAGGGGAGGTTGGAAGCAGAGCTCCAGGTTTTCCATGGCTGACATCCACTGTGCGGAAAACCCCCAGCACAGGATGGATGCTGGGCTTCCTGGTTTCCTAGAGAAATGAGGACCCAGCTGCCCCAGTGAGTGGTGGAGAAACAAGGCCTGACATTAATGAGGACAGAGGTGCGGGATGCACTAGCTGCTGGGGGGACGCACATGGCATGCTTGCCATTTTCTCTGACATGTGAAAAGGCTCAGCTTCATCTCTCACAGCGGAATGGCAGGGAGTGGACATGGCAGGACTCCAGAATAGCTTCCGGGTCCCTCAGTCTTTCCCTTCCGGGTCATATCTAAGACAATGGCTTTTTTAATAACACCAAAGTCCCAGGGACGTGAAGCAGGGGGACTGTTTTATATAACCGATGACAGAACCAGACCTTTAGATGTCTTGGTGCCCATCCTCATGACAACCAAAAAAAAAAAATTGTTACAGCTTTTAAGCCACAAAATGAACTTCTCAAGGAAAAGCCGGAGGAGGAAAGGTCAGGTGCCAGCCCAGAGAGCCAGGAAGAAGTGGCTGAGGGGCGGGACTGGTGGGAAGAATGTAAGGTTCCATGGTCAGGCAACACTTGGGCTATGTTGCAGAGACAGAGGCCCCCAAGTTCCAGAGGGTGCCTCTCATGGGCCCTTCACATCTCAAAGGTGTTGGCCTCTAAAGATGAATGGTGAGATGGAAACTCAGGTGCGGGCAGAACCACAGCCATTCCAGGTGCACCAGGTACAGAAACCGTGGAACACCTGCAGGGTGAAAACCTAGTCTCTCTGGACACATGGGACAGGGACTGGATCAAGTTGCATTGCAAGTTAAGATCCTGCTGCTCTTTGTGAATAAATCCCAACTAGTGCTTTATCTCAATGGCTCCAAAGAATAAAACTGTACCCACAGGTGACCAACCCAAATCAGAGCTGCCCAAAGCTGAGCTTCACTGGGAGTGAGCTCCTCACCATTGGAGATATATAAAGGTTCACAAGATCGTAGCTTGAAGAAGTCATTAGAGACAAACACAGAATACAAATCTGTAAGGAGGAGGAGAAGCTGGGATCAAAATGTGTCCTGCTCAGCACCACTAGCCTGGAAGAGAGCAGTCTAAATATAGCATCTGTGTCCAGCCCTCTGAAGGTGAGTGTGGCCTTTGTCTATCCTGCCACATTCAACTAACGGGCCCAAGCTCTCAGGTGGGTTCCCAGCAGCATCCAGTAGCACAGGCAAATTGCTGCCTCTGTTTACCCCAGGGAGACGTCTTGCCACGGTCTAAGGAGACAGTCAGTGCCCTGGGTTAAGCAGGTTGTGTCAGCAGATGGGTCAGTGAACTGATCACTTCCTTCCGGTAGACTTGGGCCAAGAAAGCTAAGGCAATGATTCAGTGTCGTAGAAAGAACTCATTTTGTTAAAACAGCTATGCCGAGGAAAAGGCAAAATATGAAAGAACCAACCAGCGTCTTCATTGGCGTGACCTCGGCCCCCGTGACTGGGCCACGGCACTTTCCTGGCTAGTTTCATCCACGCCAGTTGCCTGAAATCCACTGTCCTCAGATCTTTACACGAGCCCCTTCCGCACTCATTTCCCTTCCATGTCTCTTCTACCTGAGCCGAGGGAGTCTTGGCAGGATTCACACACTGACCATGCTTCCATGAGTTATGGGGTGAAGGAGGAGATCACAGAAATTGGGAACGTGTCTCTGATTATTTCACATCATCAGTTAGTCCTGGTGAACTTAAGCAAAGTCCCGGACACAAGAATCCACCACGAAGCTTCTGTCTGGGTTGCTTGGTCCTTTCCAGAGCTTTCCTCATGTCTCCAAGACCAAAGTTGGTCTACGGAAGGGGACCAAGGAACAAATGCTTACTACGACATGAACAACTTATGGTGTCATTTTCCCCAGGACAATAGGCATTGTTCCGAAAAACAAAAGGAGAGGGGCACCACTCTCCGCAAAGAAATAAACTGAAACATAAACTGTGCATGAACTTATTTTAAAATCTCTGTGGCTGTCTTCAAACTCCGACCTAAAGTTCTCATCTACTTTGATTCCAGTCACCAGTACAGTAGGTGAAAACTAGACACAGGTCACTGATTCACAGTCAATGCCACTAACAAATTCAGCATGGAATAAAACTGGTACAAGAATTTCCACTGGTGACATCAGACCATTTAGCTAAGCCTTTCTGAAGAGAATACACAAGAGTGATCAAAATATATGGTGAATGTTAAATTTTTTTTTAAAAATTTATTACAGTAAAGACACATTGGCATTAATTCAATACTTCCTCTAGCCTTGAACATTTTCTTGCCACTTTCTAAAGCAGTTCTACAAGTCCTTTTTTGTCTTTATGAAATGTGATAAAAAAATACAGTGAATGCTGCTGCTGAGCACTATCCAACAGAAAGGCAGCTCATAAAAACATGATGCTGTGTCCTCATCCACCTTGTTCCCTGGATCAGGTACCAGGTGACTTCTGGCTCTCTCCCAAAGTCAAAAGGATGATGGAATCAATTCAGGACTTCCAGGAAGCCAGTACAGCACAACTAAAGACCCTTACAAAAGAGGACTTCCAGCACTGCTTCAGAAAGCCTCAAGAACAATGGGATAAACCCTGCTTGAAGCAAGGGAGAGTATTTTGAGGGGGATTCATGGCAATGTTGTTCCTCCTGAAATAAATTTTTAAAACTTTAAACAGTGCCTGTAGTTTTGGATCACATCTTCCATGGTATATTTAGGTGAATTTCACCTCTCCTGTGCCAAGGACTCGGTGACTGCAGACCAGAAACGGAAGCGCTCAGTGTCTATACCAGCTGCCACTCCGGGCCGGCACCCTGACACTCACGTACCAGGCACTTCCCAGTTTTGGGGTCACAGGCATCACTGTGGTTGCTGCAGCTGCAGGGCACACAAGGAGCGAGGGGCAGCCAGGATTCTCTGCCACCTTCCGGGAGCTTCTGTCTGTGGAACCCAGGGGCGCAGTCCTGCAGGGTGCAAAGGGGACCAGCAGGGAACCCTAGGGTTAAAACCTGGGCAGAAGACCTGAATCCACTCCCCAGGGAAGAGGGCAAGTGGGCACGGGCACCTGTGAAGCCCAGCATGGCGCTGTCAAGGGTGAGAAAGGCCAAACCCAATGAGATGCCGCCCACACCCTCGGGTGCCTCCTGGGAAGACAACAGGGAATTACAAGCACTGGAGAAGGAGGAGAGAACCAGAGCCCTCTGCACTGCTGGTGGGACATGAGATGGTGCAGCAGCTGCAGAAAACGAGTTACCACACAACCCAGGAATTCCACGTTGGGGTGTACATCCGGAAGAACAGAATGCAGAAATGTGGAGAGGTACTGCACACCCTTGTGCACGGTAGTAATATGCACAACAGCCAAAAGACAGAAGAAGCTCAGATGCCCACAGAAGGAGAAGACAAACAAAGTAAGTATGTCCATACAACGGAATATTACTCAGCCTTCCGAAGGAAGGCACTCGGTCCATGCTACGACCTGGATGGGCCTAGAGAACATTACACTGAGGAGAATAAGCCGGACACAGAAACACAAGCACTGAAGGGCTCTCCTCCTGGGGGAGCGAGACACAGAGAGCGAGATGTTATACAGCATTATGACCAAAATTTAAAAATGTTTTTAACTGAGAAAGAAAGGAAAAATGACACAGATAACTACGAGCTCTGTTATTCACACCGAGCTGCTATTAACATGCACATTTCAACTGGAAACCAAGAAAGAGGTTTCCCTGAAGCCCCTACCTGACAGGAGAAGCCAGCCGTGCCGGGAGGACAGACACAGTGCTCTATCAGCAATGCCACCGTCCCCATGGGCTGCTGGCCCCCAGCCTTCGTGCCAACCTCCATGGAGATGTTGGAGATCCTGTGCCACCACAGAGCGTGGAAGCGGGAGAGGAAACATGAACACTTAAAACATGTTACAGAAACAGACAGTGACAAACATTTGCATATGTGTTAAACCAGAGGTTTCCTCCCAGCTGGGGACAGCTGCTACTCCTCAAGATTATAAACAAAGCCAGGTGTGGTGACGCACACCTGTAACCTCAGCACCATGGGAGACCACGGCAGGAGGACTGCAAATTCTGACCTAATCTGGGCAATTTGGCAACTTAGCAAAACGCTGTCACAAAAGAAAAAAATAGAAGGAGTCTGGGCTAGGGCTGAGTGTGAAGGCCTTGGGTTCAAGGTGCAGCACACCCCCAAGAAGATTATAAACAAAATGAGTTAAATGAAGTGTATTAGTGGTGTTACTTGGCCAATGTTTAAGAACCTACAAACATTATAGGAAGACCCCTCCGGGTCTTTCTCTGGTTTGACCAAGACTCAACAGCCTTCCTTGTGGGGTAAAGTCTTAACTGGGTTGGTGACAATTCTTTATACATCTTTACAAACAAATGGTCATTGCAGCTTTCAAGTGAAGACAACGTCACTGCAGCTTTCAAGTGAAGACAACAGCACTTTAAAATATTTTATCTCCATCTAAGATTCCACCTGGTGGACTTGCATTTCATAGCCACATTAGTACAGTCAATGGCTAATTTCCACTTCACACACTGTTCCATAACGATATTAATACTTAACCAGGTTTGGATAAGGGACTGAGGTGCATATGCTCCCGAACACATTCGTCATCCTAGTGAAATGAGTCAAATCCTTTCAGTTCTGGGTCAAACAAGGAAAACACAGTTCTAGAAGCTTCTGTACCTGCTTTGCTGTAGTCCCTGACCGTAGGACGCCTTGACGAGGATGTACTCGATGTTGCTAAGGACAGACATGAAATCCGCACGTGTGACAGGTTCTTCAGAGACAGAATTAAAGTATTTCCAAAAATCCTGTGGATGAGCAACACATTCAGTCAAATTCAAAGCACAAATTCTCACAGGCGTAGGGCCCGACAGAGAACACACATTTCTTTCATAATTTCCACTGGAAATGCCCCGTTCTGGGTGTGCCGTCGAAGCTAACTGGGGAAGACTTCCCGTGAGGGCCCAGGTTGGGCCGGCGTCAACCTCACCACAGGAGCTGCTGCCGTCGGCCAAGATGGGCCAGCCACAGCGACCCCGGGGGTAGGCGGAGGAGACAGTGCCCTGATTCCAGTGAGCCCCAGACTCCTGAGCCATTCTCTCTACACAGGGCAAAGCCTGGCATCAAGAGAACGAGTTTAAGGCGCAGCTCCCAGGAGACCAGCAGAAGCCTAAGTCGGAAGTCGCTCCGTATCCAGGGATCCATTCCAGGACCAATCCCTGCACACGTATGCCTACGACCGTGTTTAATTTATAAATCGGCCACAATAAGAGCCAGACAACAATAACAACACAGTAGAACAATGACAGCAATGTACCGTGATACAATCCCCAGCATCTCTGCCCTTGGGCTTTGGGCCATTGTGAAGTGCATCAAGAGGAAGCCGAACACAAGGACAGTGGCACTGTGACAGGCTGATAACCCAGATGGCAGGCGGCACAGTGTGTGCACACGGACAGGGGGATGGGCCCCTCCTGGGTGGGGCCAAGCAGACAGAGCAAGGCTTCATCATGCATTTTAAAGCTTATGCAATGTTTGTTTCTGGACTTTTCCACTAATCTACGGAACCTCAGCTGACCACGGGTAACTGCAACCTAGAAAGCAAAACTGTACTAGAAGAAAGGCTATAAAATTCAGAAAGCTTTTGGAAATCCTGCTAGACCCACTGGAGTGGGGCCCCAGGCTTCCAGTTCTCTTTTGTCACGTGGAGCTCTTGGTACACAGCGAAGTTCACACCGTGAGGCCCACACACGAGACCTCTGCTCACCTCCTTCATCCCCACTTCCTGATCCCGCCGCACTCCGTTCTCCGGCACGGTGGTGTCTGTGTAGATAACTTGCTTCCTGGTCCGGCCTCCTTTGATGAGGACTTGAGGCTCCAGGTTGAAGGTTCCGGTGCCATCGGAGGCATAGAAGGCCACGCTGTACCTCAGCCTGCCTCCATAGGCCAGGAGCTAGCAGGAAACGCACTCGCTTACTGCCCTGGCAGGCACACTGTGGCTTTAAAACATGCCATCGCCACCAGGTCAAAGAAATCCCGTCTCTTAAAAATACATATCCACAGGTGAGATTCGTGCTTTGCATCTGCTTCCTTCTAACCACTCAATTATGAATTATTAAATTGCTCCAAGGTGTAGTTCCCAGTGACACCAGCAGTGGTGAGCTCCTGACTAAATCACCATAGTAACAATTCTAATTATTTTAAGCTCCTTTGAATCATGTTTGCAAATTTTACAGATCAGGTGGAACTCACGCATATACTGGATTGCAGTATATAAACAAAAACATAAACAGTGCCTTCCACGGCTCTTTAATAGTAGGGGTCCCCCTCCTGTCCCACCCGGCCCAAGTGAGTGACAGTTTCTTGGGAAGTCTTCCCAGGTCCTAGCATCCAGCCCTGTATGGGGCATATATTTTAAAATGCAATATGTTTGTTGAATGACTGCTTTAGAAAGGAAGAAAGTCATGATTTCAAAGACTTAAAACAATCATGAAAAATTTTAAAGATTCACACATTTGAGGAGAATTTTATAAGTGTTAAACATCTCCTCCTCCACTTAGAAGAGGGATTTGGTAACCGTTAGTGACAGCCGGCACGAACACCGGGATTTTACATCAACATCGTCATCCCGGGGGAGGTGGCCCTCAGTGCCCTCACCTGGTCTCCCTGGAACTGCGCTGGGAGCCGCCAGTAGAAGGGCTCTGTGTGGACGTGCTGTCGGACGGCTGCAGCATCCAGCAGGATGTCTGGGGCCTGGTGATACACGCCCTCGGTCGTGCCCGTCAGGTTGCTCTGGGAGACCACATGCAGGAGGGGCGGAGGGATGCCCAGCGTCACCTGCCACGGGGAGATGCACATGAGACCAGGAGGGGGCACCGCGTCTTCATCGGATTCAGGAGCAGCTTTGGGACTGACACAGGAATAGTGAGGACTTTTCCTTGGAACTAACAGCAAGACTAAAATGAATGGCAAGGGTTTTACATGGCTGCATTTCGGGTCAAGCTTCTGCTACACTGGGGCAAAACTCAAAGCACAAAGGAGGCAGGAGAGCAGTCGGGGTTTAGCTGCTCACAGACAGCTCGGCAAAGGGGCCAGGCTGGAAGCTGCCTTGGTTTCCCGGAGAGCAGAGCTGAGCTGTGGTTCCCATATGGATCTGCTCTGCAGCCGAGAGGCAGAGGGAGGGGATGAATTTTGAGCAGAAAGCACGGGAATGTTGACTTAAAACATGATTAAGATAGAAGACACATTATCATGAATCGCCTCAAACTACGCCCCCTCACTTGGAGCACACTCATCCCATCACCCTGCCGCTTTCTGCAGCAGCTCAGGAGCCCTCTTCCTCAGTCGTGCTGTCGTGGCTGCCTGGATATCCTGACTGTTTCCCTGTCATGGTCACCGTGATGGGGAAGAGCCAGACATCACACGGTGCCAGGCCCTGTGAGTAAGGTGGATGAGGACGCACCGTTTTGTTTTCATTTCACAGAAATTGCCGTAAACATTTGACCAACGGTGCTTGATGTTTAAATAAAAAATGTGTCACAGGAAAAGACAAATTGCCACTAGCCCCCCTCAGAACACCCCCATCCCTCTGAACACACTCATCCCGTTGTCCCCAGCAAGGTGCCTTTTACTGTACTAAGTCTTTAAAAATTTAAATGTTGACTAGATTTCCCCATCACCCCCTGTAAGTACGTGACCACCTCGCCCCCCCGACCTGGTTCCCAAGGTGTCAGGATTAAAACTCCCGACCCTGTGGGCGACTCACCAAGGTCCTCACGTAACCCTCCAGCTCCCTGCAGACGTGTGACAGCCCGAAGCAGAAGCAGGGCATGCAGCCCTGGGGATCCTCAGCACGCAGGGCGAAGCTGCCAGCGCGACACTCGCTGCACTGGAGCCCGATGACGTTTTCCTACAGGGGACAAAGAGTGGCTCATGGGCGCTCGGGAAAGGGAGAAGCGGGCTGTGTGGGCCGAGGTGAAATGGACACGGGCATCATCTGAGACCCACAAAGGTCCGGAGGCGAGGCCCTGACCGGTCTCAGGAGCCAAGGTCCTAGGAAGACTCAGCCAGCGACTCCAAGCACGGCTGATGATCAGGATCGTTCTGGAAGCTTCAGGAAATACAGGTTCCCGGACATCCCCTGAAGAGCATTTCCTAGGATGCCCCAGGATCAGCCTGGAGCCCTGGGGTGATTCTTGTGTGGGGGTGTGTGTGCATGGGTGCGTGTGTGCATGCGTGTGTGTGGGTGGTGACAGGGATAGAACCTAAGGAAGGCCTCACACATGCTGAGCAAGCACTCTACCACTGAGCTGTATCCCCAGCTATTTTGTTTCATTTTTTAAATTAAGTTTTATTTTATGACAGTATCTTGCTAAGTTGCCTCAACTGGCTTGAACTTGCAATCCTCCTGCCTCGGCCTCCTACTAGCTGGAATGACGGGTGTGGGCGGGACCTGTGACAGGTCCTGATCAGTGTGCACCAGTGGACCTGCCCTCAGGGATCCTGATGGTGGTCATCCAGCAAGGACAGGTGACTACTAAGGCGAGTCCCGCTGCTCTCATGCTCTGTGCTCACAGCTGCTATCCTGAGATGCATCGAGACCATCACGGGATGATGCTCCCCGACTCACAGGCCACAGTACCTACAGGGCTCTCCTTCCTCCTTCCAGCCAAGCATCAGCCCACTGTCCTCCAGCCTCACTCTCAGCACCCAAGAAAGGCCCAGAGAAGGTGGCCACGACCTCCAGGAAAGGCCATGATGCGCATGAGGTTAGGTTACACTGGGCTCTTGCTGCTGAGAAATCACACAGCGCAATTCCCTCTGCGGACAAACAAGACCATCGTTGCCCTTCACAGCAGCCCGAGCTCCTCAGAGCCAGGCGCCCTGTGTTCAAGCCAGATGGCTCCATGGCCCAGTGGAGCACCCAGCGTCTCCAGTCTCCAAAGTGGTGCATCACCTGACGTCTGTAATAATTCTTCCCTCTGAAGGGCTCCCCCTTGTTTTATTTATTTTTGGTACCAGGGATCAAACTCGGGTCCTTGTGCTTGCGCAGCATGCAGCGAAACCACTAAGCTTAATCCCCAGCCTCCCCCTTGCTTTAGAAGAGCACACTCAAGACTTTCAACCCAGACTCAGGAGCATGAGACAGGTGGATTAGTGTTCAGCCTGGCTGTGCCTCCCACGGCAGAAGCCTGGAGCGGAGGACGAGCCTGCAGGCGGGCGCAGTGGGTACCTTGCAGGAGCAGGTGCCAGTGTCCTCCATGCAGCTGCAGACACCCCGGTCCAGGGCGCAGGAGGCAGGCAGAGTCCCCTTCAGGTCACAGTCGCAGGGGACACAGTCAGGAAAGTTCCGGTAGCCCAGGGAGCACTGGTCACAGCTCTGCCCGCCAAACTCAGCCTTGCAGGGGCACTGGCCAGACAGCAGGTCGCACTGTGAGCCTTCAGAGCCCGGGCGGCTGCAGTTGCAGACCTGAGAGAGAGGGAGGGAGGGAGGGGGAGGGAGGGAGAGAGAGGGAGAAAGAGGGAGAGAGGGAGGGAGAGTTTGTAGGTGCTGCGGGTGCATGCCAGGAGACACCAGCGGAGGGGCTGGCATCAATGAGCCCTGCCCTCCAGGCACCTGCTGCACTGAGTCATTTTGCCATCGGCACACCAGGCCAAAGCTGGGAACCAAACCAAACCCAACAGGTCTAGCAGAATTATTTCTGAGGTCACTTAAGCTTGCCACTGCTCCAGAACACAAACTGTATCCAACCCAGTCTAAGAAAGTGACAGAAAGCAGACGTTTCCCAGACTGGACATCACCCGTGATGTGGCTGCAACCTCCTCTTGGGAAACTGCTCACACTGCAGGTGCATTTAAAGGACACTGTTAGGGTTCACATCTGGACACCCCAGGAAGCCTCCTGTGCTCACGGTCAGGGTTTTGTGGAGGTGACTGGGTCGGGGGCTCCCTGCTGCAGCTGGTAGGAGGCGGGGCTGGCTGGAAGAGATTTTCTAAACATCAACTTCACAACTCGGTTCTTACAAGGTGAAATAAAGAGCTTTCAAGGCTGCTTCACCTTCCCTATTCATCCTACAGTCTGTACAGATTTACTGACTGAATGACCGACCGATCGATGGAGAGGAGGTCTCCCTAAGTTTCCCAGGCTGGTGTTGAACTCCTGCCTCAAGCTCCCACATAGCTGGGCCTGCAGGCGCCCACGGCTGTGCCAGGCTTTACTGGCTTAGACACAAGCTGCCAAGCCGTCCAGCGGGGTATAGGAGCCGCTAGACAGCGGAAGCGGCGCGTGCCTGCGGGAGCTCCGGCGGGAAGGCCTGGCCACCTGGCACTCACCTGGCACCCACGCTCCGCGCCCCAGCCCCAGTGCTCGGCCACGCACTCCTCACACTTCGGGCCCCGGGTGTGGGGGGGGCAGGTGCACTCTCCGGACTTGGGGTCGCAGCTGTTCTGAGTGTGGGCACAGTCGCAGGCTGAAACAGAGAAGCGGCCGTACACCATGGTCAGAGCCCGGACTGTGAGCACCCTGGCCCGGGCTCTGCACGCTGAGCGATGGCTCGCCATCCCAGGGACCCTTCTGACACGCCAGAGCTGGGCCGGACTGGACAGGGCCGAGGGCAGGAGAACAGGTGGTGCTGTCACTGAGCCCTCACTACACGCCTGAGGCCACAGCCTGGCGCTGGCCACTTGCTGGCCACCAGTCAGCATCTCCATCTAGAGATGAGGAAACAAGAGCTCCCTGAAGTCGAGAGTCAAAGCTAAGCTCACACAAGCAGCAGATGGCGGGCCAAGCCCAAAACTCAGGCCTGCGCCCTGACAGCGCCCGAAAGCCTAGAACAAGCAGCCCCGAGCGCCCACACTTACGTGTGCAGCCGCCATCCCGGTACGCGTAGAACCCATGCGAACACCGGTCACACCTTCGCCCGGCGACGCCTGGCACACAGTGGCACTGGCCTTGGGCCGTGCACGCCTCCGAGGTGGAGCCCGCCACGCTGCAGTTGCAGGGCAGGCAGCCGAGCCCCGCGTCCAGCCCGTAGTGGTCAGGCTGCATTACAAGAGGGCAAGGTCTCGTGAGCCAGGAAGCGACCTCACGCACAGGGACATTTTCCAGGTGACCCGCAGGGTGGCCCACAGACCACGGGGTGTTCATATTATCACACAGGCCTCGGAAAGGGGAACACAGGAAGCCAAGCGGAGAGGGCGCTTTCCCACAGTCGTGAGCTCAGCAACAGCAACGGAAGGGCAGGCAGTGACCAGCGGGCATCTTACCAGGCACTGGTCACACCGCTGTCCGGTCACGTGGGGTCTGCAGTCACAGCGCCCGGTCTCACGGTGGCACACACCAGACAGGGAGCCTTGCTCGTGGCAGTCACAGGCTAATGCACACACACGAAGCACACACTCACGGTCATTTGGGGCGATGGCTGCAGCAAGAGCCTTTAATGGCCAACGGGAAAAGTCTGAACAGTGGAGATGTCACCACAAAACTAAAAACATAACACACACACACATACGTAACAGAGTCTGCCGAAAAATATATACACTTCGGGGAAATAAAAACAGTATGACGTTTTCTCAACAGATGGTGCTTCCCTCCTATGGGGAACCCTAGAGGATGTTGTACCTCGCAGGAAACCCGCTACACCGCCGGCCCTTAGAGAAGAAATTGAAAATCCATGTGCAGCAATCTCAGTGGCCAAGGTCACCCAAGCAGCAGTTGACCGTGCTAATAAAGGTCTGGAGACTCAGGGCCACCACTCTGAGCAGCTCTGGTCATCATAGAGGCCAGAGGTCACTTGTATTAACCTCATGATGTCTCAATAATTTAGCATTAAAATAAATGTACAAGTTTTTCTTTTCCTGAAGTGTGTATACATTTTTTGGCGGACTCTGTATATACATACCACTTTGCAATAACTAACATTTTAGCATTTTTATGAAGAGTAAGCCAAAACAGAGTTGGTTGGTGGAAGCAACCCTCAGAGAAAAAAATATTGAAGCTATTAAGATAATAATAGATGGTAATATTGAAACTATTAAGACGATCATTAGCAAAGTAGCTTGACAAATTTCATGAATGCCACGAAACTTTGAAATGGAGCTGCTGATGTGTATCAGCAAATTTCTATTGAAAACATCAATGGTGATTTCAAAATCAATTTAGGCACTTGCTTTCATTTCAAACATGCAATGTGTTGTCTTCTAAAGTTCAGTTACAGCATAATCTAGATAATGTATGCATTCATATTTTATTCTATAACTTAATGAAGAATATTTCCCTGTTGTAAGTCGTGAATGATTTGTGGCTTCAAGCAAGACATTCCAATTACAATACTAATATTTAAAGCACCCTACTGTTTCAAAAGGGATCCAAGTTACCAGGTTCAAAAAGAGTCAGATCAAAATTCACAGGATAACTGTCCATATGTGCTTTGTATTATTTAATTTTCATAGTATCTGATGTTTTCACTGACCAAATATCCCAATGAATGCTTGGCCTCAGAAAATGTACGCCAGTCCATAGCTCACAGACTGAATAACCCTAATCGGAAAATCAGAAATCTGCAATGCCTTGGGAAGCTTAAAGGGCAGTAAATGCTGCTGTGCTGAGAGTATTGTAGTGGGTCACCTCCAGGCTGCCTGTAGAAGGAGCGTGAGAGACCTCAGTGGGTCTCACGGTAGACTTGGGTCCCCATTTCCCAAGACATCTCCTTACACATATGCATGTTCGTAACTCTGAAAAGCATCTGAAATCCCAAATACTCCTGGTCCCGAGCATTTCAGAGCAGTGATGCTCAGCCTGCACAACCTTGTAGGAGCAGGAGGACAGCGCTGGAGTCCGGGTCGGTGGCCAGAGAGGTGCTGGAACCCAGCGTCCCTATGCGACCCAGGCCGCCGCGCCCGAGTCACAGGGCCCCCCTCAGCTTCGGATGTGGGTTAAGAGACCAAGACCACCCCTTCCGCAGGAGCCCCAATGGCTGTGGACCCTCTCGTGGCTGCCCTTCTTTCTGCAGCCCGGCTGCCACACCACTCCTGGCTCTCAGCTCCAGGCTCTCACCTGGCTCCCACCAATCACAAGCCACGCACACAGCACAGCCACGCCCGGCTCCCGGCCCCTGCAGCCCCCGTTTCTTAGCATGTCTCTCCCACCCCACCCGCTCTGTGTCCTCCTGAGCCCTGGTCTGCTGAAGTCCAGAGCTGTCCCAGCTGCTCAATTTCATGGGCAGATTTCAGTCTGCATCTTACTGGCTCTTTGGGTAGAAAGCAACCCGCTGAGCTCTGTCTCCCTAGAATTCCAAAGCTGACGGTGCAGCTGCAGAAGACTGGGGTGAAGAGCCAGGGCAGTGCGGGAACCCATTTCCAATCCTTTAACAGCTGTCTAGGGCCTATGTTTCTGCACCTCCGGCGCCCTCTTGTGTCTCCATGTTGTAATGTCATAGGAAGACCTGCACTGACATCAAGACTCAAAAATTACAGCCGTGTTTCCCCAAAAATAAGAGCCAGGAGGAAAATAATCAGCGTTGAAAACCAGAGATCAAAGACACCGTGGGCCACATGATGGGCCAGCACCTCGCTTCAGTCATTCCGGGGTGATGGGATCTCACGGTTTCCCACTCTTCACCTTGGAAGCCCACCGCCCCCTGCGCCCCCCCCCCCCCAGGTGACGTTCTGCGCGCCAGCCCTTCAGTGCTGAGAGCAGAGCTGAGGCTTTGGAAAGCAGCTCTAAGTAACAAATCATCCGCAGTGGCCCGGAGAGCGGAGAATTCGGCCTCGGGCTGCGTTTGGTCAAGCGCAGTCGCAGCAGGAACACAGCCCCTCTCTGATGCGTGCTGGTGGAGGCCCCGTGGCTCGAGACGAGCAACACTGCCCCTCCCTGGGCACTCACCCTGGCAGTTCTTGGCAGCCACCGCGTCTCCGTAGAACCCGTCCGCGCACCTCTCACAGCGGGCGCCGTCTGTGTTCCCCACGCACTTCAAGCATTCCCCGGTGACCGGGTCACAGCCACCGGGCTCGGAGGGGTCCACATTGCCGCTGCAGTCACACGGAAGGCAGGATCCCCCCGGCACTGTGGGGTTTCCATAGTAACCGTCTGCGCATCTGTATCCGGGAGGAGAAGCGGGCTGGCATCCACGCAGCTACCCAAGACACTGGCCTACTGCGCAGTGCTGCCTGAGTGCGGATGGAGCAGACCGGCTCCTTCCCAGGCATCATAGGGGAGGGTGCGACTCCAGGTTCAGGCAGCCGCAGCTCCTCCCCACCCGGGGGCCACAGTGAGCGGTTCCAGCAGACAGCACAAGTCCCACGGATGTGCACCTGTCTCCCACCCCTGCCCCTCAGGACCGGCGGAGCCAGCGTCTGTCACTGAGACTTACACTTGGGAAAAAACCACCCTGGCTTTCAGGAGCCCATGTCAAATCAAGCCACCTGTCACCTGCACGGTCACCCAGAGCAGCGGGACATTCAGATGGGTGCAGCATAAATCCCAACTCCTCACTACTCCCCACTGCTCCCAAGGCGGAGTGAGCTCCCGCAGGAGGTGGAATCCTGTTCCCCACACGGCCTCAGCCACACCTACCCTCCGCTTCTCAGCAGGTGTCTTGGTTTTCCTCTATAATTCTGTGAAATGGTAATTATACATGCAAGCTCCCAAACCACACTAACCTGGTCCCTACCCACTGCCCTCCCGTGCAGAGTCACCCGCATTCCCACACGCACGCACCATGATTCTGTGCTGGTTAAACATTTTAAGAAAGATATTAAAAATAAACCCTTGACGTTTAAAGAGAACTTTAAAACAACGGCACCTCTCGCACCAGGTTCCGGCATAGCCCGGGCCGCACTGGTCACAGACCATGTCCTCCTCCTCGTCCAGATGGCAGGTCGGGCTGAAGCTGTGGGGACATCAGAAATGAGTGCCACATTCTGGGGAGGCTGTCAAATCCCAAATACAAACTTGTTCTTCTGGTTTCGTACTAGGGATCAGACCCAGGGCCTGTGCACTGAGCTGCATCCCTTTAAAAACATTTTTATACTTTGAGACGAGGTCTTGCTGAGTCATTTAGCTGCCCAGGCTGGACTTGAACTTACAATCTTCCTGCCTCAGCCTCTGAGAGAGGGGGGATCCAGGCGTGCACCGCTGTGCTCAGCCACAACTGAGTACTTTCTCCGACACCTGTCCTTACAACAGCATTCAACAGGTCCTCAGCCCTTGGCCAGAACCCAGGGTCTGTGGTACCAACCTGCCCTGTGAGCCTGCTCCATTCCCCCCATGTGGAGTTGTGGCAAGGGCCCTCCCTGCTTCTATCCTCCCTGCTGCTGCCTGGGGTAACTGGCTCATCCTTGCTGCCACTCAGGAGTGACTTCTTCCAGGAAGCCGTCAGAATGCTCCTGGTACACCAGGTTCTTCTCTGGTAACCCCTGGCACTGAGCTTTCCACCCTGCAGAGCCCCACGCGGCAGGGACAAGCCTGAGCTCGCTGCCAGGCTCTCGGAGGAGCAGCAACCCTGAGAGCACCTCCTGCTGCCTGGGTGTGGCTGAGCCTGTGCTGCTGTCCCTGCCGGAAGCTCGGTTCCTCGGGTGGCACTCTCCAGAAGTGGTGGGACCTTAAGTGCAAACCTTGGGTGGGATTGAGGTGGCTGCCAGGCAGTTAGAGAGCAAGCTGTTAGACCAGGGCGAGCCAGGCTGCAAGCCCTCTCCGGCCCCATCCTTCTCATGCATGCTCCCACCAAGGGGATACCACGAGGTCCTCCCCAGGTACTGGCACCGTGCCCAGAGCCTCAGAGCGAAGAACCGATCAGCCTCGCTTTATAAGTTGTCCAGCCTCACTGATTTCACTACAGCAACCCAATACAGACTGATACAGCATCATGTTTATATTTGAGAATTTCGTATCAAAATCCCTGTGGGGACTTGGCTAGGGAGGGGTGGAGGGAGAGGACAGCAGGTGAACAGCCTTCTGATTGCTGCCTGCGGGACACAAGGCCCTGCTGAGGCGTCCTCGCCTGCCTCCCATGCTCTGCTCCAGGGCCCCTGAGAGTCCTCGAACAGGAAGTGGTATCCACACGACCACACCCGGGCACCCCTGGGTCCTCCTCCTTCAGTCATCCTGGCCCTGCCCAGTGAGGTGGCACTCCCCCTACCTCCAGGCCACGTGGGGGACAGGTGTCCACGACAGTTGTGACCACACAGGGTCCCCGGGGCCAGCAGCTAATCAGAGCAGCCACCGTGGCGCTGGGTGCCCTGCAGGCACGCAGTAAATGCATGTTGAATGGACAGATGACTTCAGACCTTTTATTGAGTCTCCTACTGTCGTATTTTGGTCATTAGATCAAAACACAGCAAGCCCAGGGACAATGCGCTGCTCATCTCCTTGTCCTCTCCACCTCTGAGCCTGCTGGCAGGCACCAAAGGTACAATGGTGAGAGAAACCATGAGCAACATTAGACCGGAGGACAAACGTGCATGTGTTTGACCTCTGACCACACCTTTTCTTGCATAATTCAATACGCAAGCTTTTTAAGCAGATGATCATTTGTGGCCTCTGTGTCTAATACTAGTCAGTGACCACTGGGCTCAGCTCATGCAGGTAAGGTACAGACCTGGCTTCAGAGTCATCAGAACACAGCCCAGTGCCAGTGTGGGCCATGCCAGGCAGGACCTGCGAGGAGGAACGAAGCTTACTTGTTGGAGGGTGTGGTGAGGGGGCAGGCACAGCGCTGGCAGCCCCCCGGTGTCCCCCGGGAAGGTGCCCCGTAGAAGCCGGGCAGGCACTGCTCGCAGTGGTCCCCAGTGGTGTTGTGTGTACAGTCCTAGGATGCACCATGAAGCGAGGAGTCAGAGCCAGTTTCCTTTACGGACTTCCAGGTTCATCGGCCGACAATATGAAGCCCAAGTTCAAATACACAAACAAGACAAATGCGAAAACAATAGCCCAGCAACAAGTGATAGGAGGAAGGGTTATCTGTTTCCAGATCAACTAACTTTAAATTATAATTTGTATAAAAGAAGAACCTAAGATTTTTGCTCCAACCACATTAGAGTAACTGGTACCAGATTTGTCCACCTGTAACAAACAACCAGAAAACGGAGCAAAGAACAGTGGACCCTTGACTTACGAACTCAATTCATTCCTGAGGGATGGTTGTAACTCACATTGGTCAACTGCCTTCAAAGTCTCTCTCCTGATACAGGCAAACCTCAGAGATTTGTCCTTAGAGAGACACTGGCCCAGGATTTCTCAACCCCACACAGGAAAGGACACTTGTCATGTTCCTTCCAGAACTCGTTAAGGGTTAAATCTGTATGTGAGACTATCTCGAAGCACAAGCTGCTGGCATTCAGGCCATAACTCAAGACTTTGGTCCTAAGTTAAAACTAAAATTCCAGTCATAGCCCAAGTTGTTCACATGTCAGGCTGGTCGTAACTCAAGGGTCCACTGTTTATCAAACGACTGGTTTTAGACAATTGTACAACTAGCACAGGTCTGAATGCACTAATCCACAAATGGGAGAGAAATCAGCCCTCAGGAACAACCCAGAGATGGCAGAGATGGTGGAACCAGATGCATGGAAGGAGTAACTGGAAGGCACCAGGAGGCCAACGCTGCGCAGTGTCAAGCATTTGTGAAGCAAAACGTCACTTTCACAAAGGAGCAGCTGCCAGACAGCGGGGAGGGGTGGGAGGTGGGGTTAGCCACCAGGTACCCACGTCCAGTTACTGGAGCACGAGTCTGCCCACTCTTTAGCCCAGCACTTGGAGTCTACAGCAGTCTACAGCATGTTACCCAGGGGCCAGGAGAGGCCACACAAGTGGTTAAGTGGCTGCAGAGATGGAAGCGCTCGCTGCCTCCCTGATGTGACCTCTGCACACTATTTACATGTGTGGAACCACGCTGTAGGCCATAAATATGTACAAATATTGTGTCAAAATATTTCCAAGCTATTCTAACATAGTCAAAGATCGAAAGGAGACATTAACGTGTTGAAGTGCAAAGAGCTACTTAGATAACTAAATATAAGCTACTCACTGGACATGTGCATATTTAGTGTCTATTTAGCATGTCTAGTGTACACCATGAGCACATTTCACATATATTTCATACATGTAGTATATATTTCTGTGAACGCATACTTATAGAAGCATGAGAAGCACACACGCACACACTGGCTGTCACAGAAGCACGGATGACACATCCAAGACGTCCTGACTACTGGGCACATGTGAGGGCCAGAGAGGGCGGCCTCGCAGATCCAAACAGCAGGGGAGAGAAGAGTAGGAAGCAACAGCAACCCAGGCTTGGAGGAGCCCTGCACCCTGGGAAGCCACCCTAGAGCGACTGCAACCTGATTCCTACAAACCCTTTACTTCCAGAATGGGGAAACCAAGACAGAACAAAGGGAAGCATCGCTCAGGAGAGACACGCTAGGCCCAGAGAGGAGAAGTAGCTGGCTCTGGGGCTCAGACTCCCCTGCACCTGCACACAAATCTCCCCATCTTCCTGGGTGTCAGCACACACATTTCCTCCTCTGAGCAGCGAGTCTAGGAGGCCCACAGGGCACCCGGCTTCTAGGCGGAAGGGCCTCGAAACTCCTGGCTGCAGCTAGAAAACAAGTCTCACTCTGTGCCAGCTCCGAAATTAACTACATATTTGTGAAGCCCTGTTTCGACTCATATTGCTAATGAAAGAGGTATGTATTGGAAGATTTGATCCAAACTAACTAAACAGCATTATATTGTGCAAAAGAGCGTGACGATGAGAAGCTTTATTACTCCTGTGGCATACTGTGGCACTGAATGTCAAAAAAAGCACTTTCATTGAGAAGACCTGATGCTTTGAATTTAATCAGTGGACAGTGTTTCTACCTTTACATTGCCTTATAATTTTGCTGTCAGTAATTCCTTGTCATTGTTCTACTAATAAAAAATTGGAATGATATCACACATCCCCTTCCTGCTGCCAGGATCCATTGGGATCTGAAGTGATTTTGGATTTGGGTTTTTTTTTTTTTGGATGGAGATGGAAATATATTATTTACGTAATGTAATCCCTTGAAGATGGGACCCAAGACTAAGTAAGCGTGAAATTAATTTGTGTCACATGCACACACAGCCCGAAGGAACCACTGCCCAGTACTTTTAGCACGCCTACATCTCCACTCTAATTCCTCACGCAAGGTCAGTGTGGAATTTGCCACCTGTGGCATCACGGTACCCTCCAAAAGCCTGCAGATTTCGGAGTGTTTCAGAGTATGGATTTTCAGGTAAGGGATGTTCAAACTACTTCACTAAAGGACATCAGCTCCGAAACAAAACAGGTTATAAAGCAGCAGGAAAGGTTTCAAGGCATGGGCTTGAAGCTCCTAATTCCTCTTGGAGCCTTCGAAGTCTGGACATTCTGCGGAAAAAGCATTTTGTAAAAAGTCACTTCTGGGCAACGAAGAGCTCAGGGCTGAGCAATAAACTCACCAGGCAAACGCCATGAACATCACACTCCCACGCGTGGCCGTGGCACTCACAGGGCTGGCAGATCCCCCCGAAGAGAATGCCGTCCACGCGGTAGTAGCCAGGCTGGCAGGACTGTAAGAGGGGGCGACCGAACTTGTGAACGTGATGCAAATCACCTCCTCTCCCACTCATTTGGAAAAGACACTGCTCGACTTCGCCCGAGCAGAGAAATGTGTTTCTTTTTTTCTAGTTTTTAGAACATCTTCATCAAGATATTACTGACATACCGCAAACTTCACCTATTTCAAGTGTGCAATTGGGGATTTCTTGTAGGTTTGCCGAGCTATGGAACCAGCTGAGGAATCTAGCCCCTTGGCTCAGAGAAGGGCAGGAGCAGTGAAACAAGCCGAGTGCCTCGTCGCCAGCCAGGATGCACTGCAGCGGTGACCCAGGGTCCTCCCGAGCCGGAAGTGGTGCAGTGCTAGCTGGCCCAAGTTTTTCCAAGAGGATCCATTTCCCTCAATGGTATCTTTTGTCTCACGTTTACCGTTCGTTAAAGCCCAACAGTGCACACATTCTCGCGCAGGTCTGGGCCGCCCTGTGCCACTTTAACTGGCCACCAGCACAAAGCCCATTGGTGGCAAGGTCAGGCCACTCCTCCTTGTCACCCAACGTGGGAGGGAGGGGCCTCACACCCATGGAAACCCGAGGAGCAGTCTCTGCCTTGCAGACAGAGCGGGAGGACAGGAGGCTGGACAGGGCAGCGTCTGTCCATGGGACGCTTCAAAGCCAGGTGTGCTCCAAGGCCAGGGACCTCAGACACAAAACTCCCCAAGAAAGCAGAGGTGGGGTTCACTGGATTTGTGACTTGACTAAAGTCAGCGTCTCCCCATGGGGAGTTAGCATTTTTAAGAGCATTCTTTGAGAGAATTTTAATTACACAAAGTTCGTAAATACATTCATGGGCACAGACTCTGTGCAAGTCCCTAACACACCCACACCACTGAGCACTTGGGCTTGCTGCAGGTGGCAGTAACTGGGCACCAGCCTGGGTCTGTGGGGCACCAGGCGCACAGGGTGGCAGAGAGCCCATGCCCTGCCTGCAGCCACCTGCCTCTCTCAGCCCGTAGAGATAGAATGAGTTCTGCATGATAACATCATTGGCCAGGCCTCACATCCTCAGGGGCCTTGGCCGCGCTTTCGGGGCGCCACAGAACAGAGCTGCCCTGTGCTGAACACGCAGGGCTCTTTCTTGTCAGTATGCCCTGCACCGTGCAGGAGAACAGCAACTGAGACAGCATCTGACTGGATTGTGCCTTGTGAGTCACCGGAGATGATACGAGGTGTAAGCAGGTTATAAAATACTCTGCCACTTTATATAAGGGACAACATGAGCACTGGGCATCCTGAGGCACAACTGCACTAGGCTCCTCCCACCTGCTGGAGTCCATTGGACCTGTTCAGCAGCCCCACTTCTTCCGGAGCCCAGTGGCCTGGGAGGGATCTAGCAGCAGCTGCTCCCTGCTGCTCCCTTCTGGTCTAGCCGGCCTGGCTTCCAGTTCCTGGTTTCCTCCTCCCTCCCTTGGTGTTCCTGACATCCTGCTGGATGAAGGTCAAACTCCAATGGGACCACCACTTCCTAGCTGCAGGACCGAGGTCAAGGTACTGAATCTCACTGTGCCTCAGTTTCCTAATCTTTGGAAAAGAAATATCCGACTGAGCAGCCACCACTGTTGTCAGGACCCGAGTGGGTAACGCCAGAAGGAGCCCAGAGTACTGCTGTGTACACAGGACACTCTCGTGGGAGAGTTACTACCAACACTAATGTCCAAACCATTCAGCACTTTCACTGATGGCAGGAAGTGCATTTTCCTAGAAGGCCATCCCTCAGCATCCACATGTGACAGGTTCCAGGGCCCAGGGACATCAGAATCCTTGATGTTCAAGTCCCTTTCACAGAGTGGCATAGTATTTGCATACAACCTAATGCACATCCTCCTAAGGACCTTAAATCTCTTCTGGATGACTTATAATACCTAACACAGTGTCAAGGCTAGGTAGATGGTTGTCAAACTACTGTTCAGAGAATAATGAGAAGAAAAACACTGGTACATTTATACAGCTGCAGTGTTTTCTTTTCTAGAACATATATGATCTGCATTTGGTTTATTCCACAGATCCCAAACCTATAGGTGCTATGTAAGGTGGAGCCCAGAACCCCCAAAAAGTAAAACAGCCAGGTGATGTAAAGGCTTCAAAATGGGCCAGGCTTGCCTGAAGCTATCCTGGTCTGACACAGGTGATCATCAATGTTCAGTTCTGCTTAGAAATGCAGAGTCTTGACGTGGGTACTGCAGGCTTCCTGTGCTAAGGCTAGGGTGCTCCACAAAATCAGGCCATCTCTGCTGCTCCCACCCACTCCTGGTACAAGAATCCAACGTCTTTAAACAACACGATTTCCAATGTCCGTACAATCCAATGAGATCTGAACCAAACACTGGGTTTCTAACGTTAAAATTCAAATACTCATCATTACATTTCTTATGAGAACAAAGGAGGAAGACAGAGGCAGGCGGTACCTCGCAGGAGGTCCCCAGGTAGCCCTGGGGACATTCACAGTGCTCCACATCGGTGGCGACTGTCAGGTCTATAGCATTGGGGCTCGCTATGTCCAGAGAGACAGAATCCAACCTGCAAAGAGACAGAGCTCGTGATGGCAAGGGCCACCCCTCACCTCAATGAAGATGGGTTCCGGAAGGATTCGATTCAAACAAAATGGCCATGCAGTCAGTGTTTCTAAGTAACTGCAGATTTCCCCAACACCTCCTCTCGGGAAGCCAGCAATCATTATTCCCTGGAAATGTCTTCAGTGTTTGTTGCAAAGACATGCTACTGGTACAGGCGGCCTATCTGGAGTTGAAGCACTTCATAAAAATTCATCCACTGGGTCACCTTATCCCAAATGCAGAGATGATCCTTCAATGAGTAGGCCATGTTTGCTTTAGTAGCATCCAACTTTTATGCTTGGGTGGGCAGTGCCAGAAACTGGGCTCTTCAGAGTAATAAAATAACCAAGAATGAACACAATAGCTCAAATAACTTCGCAAAACGAAGTCTATGAACATCAAGAGACAGAGAACTAGATGCCACGTGGTATGGGTGACTGTGAACTCTTCAAGCCTTCCTTGGAAATACCCCGCAGTGTCTGAATCTCAGGTCAAGACTGCCCCCTACTGGACATATTTGTCGTGACCAACTAGCCTGCGCTCTTCAATAGACTTACACTTATAACTTAGACAAATAACTTACTAGAGCTAGTACCTTTAACGGTATCCTTCATATAACAGCTATGAAACATACTAAGCCTAAAATATACAACAGCACAGAAGCACCTTCACCATAAGTCCTCTCCCTTTGAACACGCACCTGTAAAGAGCCGTCTTTGCGGTGTTGTAGTTGGCTCTGATGAGGAGGTGGCTCAGGTTGGCGAGCACAGTCATCAGCTGGTCGCGGTCAATCTCCCTCTTAGTGCTGTAATCCCGGAAGTTCTCTGGCACGAGCCTCACCATGTTGTGGTACTCTTCGTAGGGTTGTAAAGAGAGACCCTCAGCCTGGGTGCTTAGCATGAGTCCGTTTCCCTAGCATTCAAAACGGGAGGGAAGGCATCTGTAATTCCACTGAATAACCAAAAAATAGCATCGAATTGCGCGTCACTTTTTTCCTTCAGTATGGGAGACTGAACCCAGAGCCTTTGCCCTGAGATACATCCTCAGCCCTTTTAAAATTTTTATTTTGAGACAAGGTCTTGCTAAATTGCTAAGCTCCCCAGGCTAGGCTCGAACTTGCTGTCCTCTTGTGTCAGGCTCCCAGAATGCGGGGATTACAGGTGTGTGCCACTGCATCTGGCTTGAAATCCCTCATCTTTAAAGAATGAAAGTGGGGAAAAGTATGGACGGACAGTAATTATACCTCCAACTCTCCCTGGAATCGTCCTTCACAAATATGGACGTGGAGGTGCTTAGGGTGGAAGGACAATGGAGATGAGAACCCAAATGTGCCCGGGCCCTGGGTGAGGCTGAGCTGGGGCTTTTGTGTGGGGAGTGAGGACGCGCAGGACAGAAGTGGCTGTGCATCTCCTGTTCCCGTACTGTTGGCTGCCTAATCCATCCACCAGGGGCGGCTGATGGCAGGAGGGAAGGGGGTTGTGAGGCCCAAGGGCAGCCGTGAGGTCAGAGCACACCAGGGATGGTGGGGTGGCCCCCTGGCCACTTCCAGTCACCAGGCCGTCACCCCCGCAAGCCTTCAGCTCCACAGCCAAAGCAGCCAAGAGCTCACCCTGATGACGACGTCGGCGTGAGACAGGAGGTCACCGTCCACTGTCTCCGTTGGAATGTCGTAGGACACCGTATACTTCAGGAAGCCACCGAACGCGGTCAGCTGGAAAGGTTATGTGGGTGTGAGAATGACAGGGCGCACAGAAGGGGCTGCGAGAGCCCACCCAGAAATACCGGGCTGCGAGAAATTCACACTGCAGGCAGGAAAAGCAGGCAACACGGATATTTTGTTTAATCCCTGTTGCTGAAACACAGCATATCCCTGCAGAATATGCACAGAAGAAATACAGTCTTTCTCGGAGACCCTAAGGAAAATGACTGTAAGCTTCTGCTAATTCCACATTTATTTTACCTAAGTAATTTTCGGGGTGGGAAGTCGGATCCATGACTGTAATCCCAACATACTGACTCCACTGCCTACTTAATAGGAAGCATCACACGCGCTCTGCCAGTTAAAGGAAGTGTCTCTTCCCCACCAGATGTGCTTTAGTGCAAAGAGATTTCTTCCCAACGAGCATGTCACAGTATAATGCTCAGAACACAAATCTGCAATCCAAAAACTGGACAGAAGGTTTCAAGAGAAAAACAATCACCGAAATTTGGTGATAAAAATCCCATTACAGAGTATATGGTCTACAGCTGTAACTTAATGGAAAAATCATTTTCAAAAATAAGTACACCTCGGAAGCATACACTCCTTGGAAAATGCAATCATCGTGTTAATGGGAAGCTTACCAAGTGACACAATCACATTACCACAAAAGCAGGTGGCCTTAAAACACACCCAGCCCCCAGGCGAGGAGGGAGTTTCAGGTACCAAGACAGTTCCCCTAGTAGATGTTCTGACCCAGCAGAATCTGGAGGGAAGGGGCATAAGGAACCCGGAGGGGGAAATTGGCAGCAGAGGAAATCGCTTTCCACGTCGTGGGTCACCGTTTGGTGCTTTCTTGACACTGAAACTGTGGGTACCCTGCCGGCTCCCATCTGCAGACTATGTGACAGCCTCTCCCGACACCCAGGGCATCTCAGGACCCTGGTGGGACGCGGCCTGCATGTCTTCCCTGCACTAGGCCCTCCACTCGGAGTCCCACTAACTCCTCCAGGCTGGAATTGAACAGACACATCACAGAGCTCCTGTGTTCCAGGGACCCGGGGAGGGAAGCAGGGGGCCGGGACTTCACTCCTCAGAGTGAGCAGAACCCGAGCAAGCGTCCGGTCTAAGTGAAAGGCCATAAGCTGCTCCACGCTGGCCCGCAGGACTCCTTCAAATGTGCCCAGAGAAGTTCTTTCTGAACACTGTGCCCTCTGCCCCACCAGTCTCTGCTCAGCACACGCACGTACCTTGTTCCCCAGGTAGGCCTCGGGGGCCGACCAGTAGTACCTGGCGCCCAGCCTCTGCGTCACCTCCACATGGCTGATGCTGATCTGACGGCGCCCGCCCGCCACCTCCTGCTGGGACTTGATCTCCCTGGCACTGACCAGGTCTGTGACCAGCCACCCAGACATGTCATTCACCTTAAAGAGAATTTGAGAATCTTACGACACGCAACTGAGGCTGCCTTGAGTTCCACCCAGTCTTGTGCAAATATCTTCGTGATGAAGGGCGGACTCACAAAGGTTAGCTAGGGATGAAGTTCAAATAATGATTGCTACCAAAGGGCACAACACATGACCCTGCCAAGAAAACATATGTACCTCAAAGCCAAATCAGCTAATGCAAATAAAAAGCCAAAACCAGAAAGGAAGTGGGAAATTATCTATCTATATCTATCTCCAAGTGTTCCAAAAACCAAAACTTTTACCAACACAATGCTACAAGGGTAAAATTCCACACCTGACCTACCTCGTGTGAAGAGTTTAGGTCAAAATGCAGGTGCACAAAAAATACTACGTAAAATTACCTTCAGGCTGTGTGCATCAGGTGCATGTAGAACGTCAACGAATTTGGCATTTAGACTTGGATTCTGCCCCTGAGATAGTTTATTGTGCATGTGCAAGCAGCCCAACCTCTGAAAAAAATCTGCAGCCCCAAACACTTCCAGTCCCCAGCATCTCAGCTTGTACATGCAGTGAATGAATGTTTTCGTAAACTCCGACTCCCCCTTCCTGTTTTTTACCCAAATGCTGCAAAATGCGTCCCAACCTTCAGATGCAGTGCTCCTAATGGCCCTGCCCCACCGTGTGGTGGTCACAGTAGTCTCCGGGGTCATCCATGTGCCCGGCAGCTCCTGTCCTCTGCAGTCACACGGTGGCTCCTCCCCTGGCACCATGTGCTGCCTCCCTGGCACTCAGGTGCCTCCACTTCCTGTTTCCTAAGCAGCCTTCCTAGCCTTACCGCCCCGAGCCACCCGCTGCTGTGCCGTCCTTCCCACCCTCAGCTTCTCAGAGCCAGAGGAGTCACAGGACCTGGTTCCGTGTGCCTCCTGCTGGAGACCAGAGGGGGCAGGCAGGTTCGCTCCGAACCCCACTTGAAGCATCTCCCGGGCGAAGAAATGAAACAAGAAGCACCTTGCAATACCGCATCAGCCTGCTCACTGGGTAGGAAAAGGTATGCAGGAACAAACCCGCAACTCAGAAAGCTTCAGGACACTTTTGGGAGTGGCCTGGCTGTCTGGCCGGTCAGGGGCAGGCTTGGAATCCACAGGGAGAGCTCAGGAGGTTCGCCTGTTCCTGAGACCCGGCCAGACACAGCCGCACCCACCTGACCCAGGGCCCAAGAAAGGCTGTCACAGACGCCGGACACGCCGAAGCAGAAGCACTCAGAGCAGCCCTGCAGGTTCTTCTCCTGTAGGTTGTAGAACCCTGGTTTGCAGCGATCGCAGGCTTCGCCCTCGACGTTGTCCTGCAAGTTACCATCAAAGGTTAGCTGGGGAAACCAGACAGAACAGGACACATGCATGACATGGAGAAGGGGGCTGACAGGCCACAGAACAGGTCAATAAAATGGGCTGTACAAGTGCTTTTCCTATTCACAAATACTCAGGATTATTTTCAGTCACATCAACAGGTGCCTAGGACTCTGCGAGTGTGGGAACAAGCACACAGGTACAGCGGGAAATCCTCAGAACTGCAGGGAAATTGTTATTCGTGTCATATGACCGAATAGCCCCCTCCGGGTACCAGAGGAATGCATTTCTTATGCTTGCTGCATTCCTTCTTAGCAGATCCCAGATAACAGACCTGCACTTAATTAATGTTCTTGGAAATGCAGTGTTGACCCAGCTCTACTCCAGACTCCAAGCTGGAGAAGAAAGTCAGGGAAGAATTAAGCCAAGGTCAAAGACAAGGCGTGCAGGGTTGGCGTCACCTCGGAAGTCACTGAGATCCATCGGGAACAGAGGCCCACCACCGGGAGCAGCAAAACACAAACCCAGGAATCTCCAAGTCCAAGGATGTGGACACAGCTGCTTGCCCGGACGCGCCACACGTGGTGTGGCCAGCTCTGCGGAAACCTCCCCGCCAGGACCACCATCTGGGCCAGTGAACACGCTCCTATTCCTGAGGAGCCAGAGAATCCCAGGGGCGCCCCGGCCTCCGCACTGACCTTGCAAAGACACGGCTCCGCACACGGGTCGTCGTTCACGCTGCCCGCCGGGCTGCAGTCACAGTGCACGCAGCTCGGGAAGCCCTTGTAGGCAAACTGGCAGCGGTCACACCTCTCTCCTCCATAACCCGCTTTACAGGGGCACTGCCCCGGCCAGAGCCCTGCGGACAGAGACCCGGAGCAAGGTAAGAGGCTGGCGGCAAATGCCGGCCAGCTTTTCCTGTGAGGTTCAGGGCCCACATTCTGGGCTTTGGCCACAGCCTCTGCCGCAGCTATGCAGCTCAGCCATTCCTGCTCGAACACGGCTGCCCACGGCAGAGAAGCAGACAGCCGCAGCTTGGTTCTAAGAAAGCCGTATTCACAAAAACAGCCAGCGTGTGGCTCTGGTACACAGGCCACCATTGTCCAAGTCCGGTTTAAAGAAAAAGAAAAACAAAAGAAGAACTTTACAGGGACTGGTGGTAATGGGACACGGCACAGGAACCCTGGAAAACACTAGCACTTCTTCTAAATGGTAGGTATGGGAGAGGCTGGGGCAGGAGGATGGCAGCGAGTTTGACGCCAGCCTGAGCTACATGCTGCGTTCAAGGCCAGTCTGAACTATGCAGCAAGACCCTGTCCCCAAAAAGAAAGATGTTAGGTATAGAGTTGCCATATGGTACAATGGAATACCCACAAAAATGAAGATATGTGTCCCCCAAACTGTGTAGACAAATGTTCACAGCGGCATGATTCATGATAGCCAAGTATCCATCAACTGATGAACAGAGATCTAAGGAGTTCCCTCCCCGGAAGGTGAAAGTGTTCTGCTATTAGACTGTGCTGGTGAAGGCAGTGAGCTAAATTATATTAAACTATATAACACACTAAATAATTACATATTAAGTCATATAATTTAAATGGGAGAATGGCGGTGAATTACAAGGCAAGCAGGCACTGCGACAGGGCCCTGTACTCCCAGCACTCTGAGAGGCTGAGGCAGGAAGGCTGCAAGTTGCAGCCCAGTCTTGGCAATTTAGCGAGACCCTGCCTCAAAAGAAAAACTAAAAGAAGAGCTGGGGATATCGTAAGCTGCAAAACAGTTTTAAAATAAAGCACAGAGGCAAATCACCTGTAGAGATCAATGGCACCACCTGTGTTTAAAGCAGCTCTGACTCTTACCGGCGCGGGACGCTGCCCACGTGCTTCACTGCTCTGAGCCACGGCTTCCTCGCCCTGAGGTGGGTTAAACACTTCCCTCTGTCCTGGCTGAAGGGCTTAGGTGGTATTTTTTTAAGTGAACACAGTCCAGGGTCCCTGTCACCAGCAGCAGGAGCAGTACCCGTCCAGGTTCAGCTCTCAGTGGACAGAAGGCTCAGTCCCGCTGTGTCCTTTCCCCTCCCGCCCTGCGGGTCCACGGCCACCAGGACTGCCCCCGGCTGGGCACAGGACGGGGCACAGAAGCCTCTGAACAGAAGCAGCCTATTCAGGAAAGTCGGGCATCTGCAGGCCCATTTCCCAGTCTCGGAAACAGGAAGAGCACCGACATTCCGCAGTGCACTGGGAGACCTGCTGCTCTCTAGGTGATGTACGCAAAAGCCCTCCTAGCACCTCCTCTGAGCTACCCAGAGCGACTGCCACTTACTGCTATTTACTGACATTTCCACACTTGGCTCACACTGAGCCCTGTCTCCCTACAGCGAATGCTCCAACGCTCCTACAGCGATTTTCTCCCTAAACGGCATCTCATCACCCCAGCGCCAGCCCCTCCATGTCCACCTCCCCTCCATCACGATGCCTCATTCTGCTCTATGCCCACAGCACTGCGCTTCCCGGCACTGCACCTGTGCACCTATTTGCTGCCTGCTGCCAGAAAGCGAGCCCCTGACCATGCTGTTCACATCTACATCCCCGGCCACAGAAGACACCCTGAGACACGGCAGGCGCCTGCTGAAGTTCTGCTGAATAAGAATCGCATTCCCAGATGGCTACGCAACAGGAATAGTGCTAGCGAGACAAATCTTCCACCACAGAAGGAGATCGGCAGGAGGAAAGCGAATCAGGTACGCACCGTCGTGCAAGTTCGACTGGAGATCGTCCTTAATGCAGACGAAGCTGAGGGACCCTAGCGGGTCGCAGTCGCAGGGACGACAGGGCTCATCCTCATAAGGAGAAACCTGTGAGACAGAGGTGTTCCTGGGTTAGCTTACGAGAGATAACAGAGATGCTGGCACCAATGACATCAACGATGCTAGGCTTTCGCCAAAGACACCGTAACAGTGACTTCGTGTAGTGAGGGATATGGGTCTCAGGGAGGTAGAAGGCCCCAACATCTTTAGATGGTGACAGCAGTCTGTACCATCAGTTGAGTGCCATCCTTCCCCAGGACCTGCTGCCTGCCTTCCAGCTCTGCTCTCTCTCATAGCCATTTGCAGGCATTACCTACACCCGAGCCACCCACAACACAAGTACATATCAAGTCAACTGGGGTCCGCCTGCGGGGATCCTATGGGATCCTATGGCCATGAGCCTGCTGCTTTGGTCCTCGGCTTCATCTCCACGTTTAGGTGAGTGTTACCCAAGCTGACAGGGCTCGCAGGCTCATGATCCAAGTCACATCACGCACACACATCCCACTGTGAGCCAGGAGAGAGGATGAGTGGGGACAGAGATGGCAAGAACACTTCCAGCAAAAGAAGAACCACCATGGGGCATCACGGAGGGAAGTCGGGCTGTCACGGAGAGGCTGAGACTCGGCAGAGTCACTTCCACCTTGGGGATCCAGGACGGCCTGCCGTGGGAAGCACACGCTCACCTTGTGCGGCCTGTAGTAGCCGTCAACGCAGGTTTCGCAGTTGATCCCCATGGTATTCTGCTGGCAGCCAACACACACGCCACCGCCTCGGAACTGCCCTGCGGTGTTCAGACTTTTCTTCTGATTCGCAACATTTTCGTCATAGTAGCAGTCTTTGGCTTTGTTGTGGCAGTTACATTCTGGAAAAGTGTGCCGGCATCTCAGTTAGCACACACAGTGGGTCCTGTATAAAGTGACCTGCTGCGACTACACTTTAAACTGAAATTCCAGAATAAAAAATGTTCGTAAGGCAGAGGCAATACCCTGAGGGACAATCAGGAAAAGCTGCTCAAAAAGTACATCTGCACATCCCTCTGACCCAGCAAGCCATCTCCTGGGCTTATACCCTGAAAGCCCCCGACAATTCCCAAGGACCCAGGCAGGGTTCAACACAGCGTCACTGGCCCTGTTAACAACAGGCTGGCATCCACCGAAACCTCTACCAACAGGGAGCTGTTAAACCACTTTATTATATCCACATGATGGAATTCTGTGTAACTGCCTTTAAAAACAGCATTTCAAATTGCTAGCATGGAAAGAGTTTAAAGATACACTGTTAAGTATTAAAAAGCAGGGTGATCATATTACAGTGGTTGATGCACACCCATGTTTATGCCCAGCAGCACAACTCACAATAGCTAAATCTTGGAAGTGGCCCACATGTCAATCAACAGATGAATGGATAAAGAAAATGTATTTATACACAATGGAGCACTACTCTGCCATAAAGAAGGATAGACATGAGTCATTTCTAGGAAAGTGGATGGACCATAAAGGTGAGTGGAGTAAATCAGACACACAAGCTTAAATATTGCATGGTTTCTCTTATATGAGAAGCCTAATGTATAAATAACTTAAAGAGCAAAATAAAAGACAGATAGTGGGAAACTTGGAGCTAGATCTTTTGCGAATGAGGAGACCAAGGGGTGAGGGCAGTGAGTAAAAAGAACTAAGATGAGTTATGCACACCTAACAACTCCATACAACGCATGTCATCGTTGTGTACTGCACACAGGTACTAATTAAAACAAAATAAATAAAAAGCAACGTGGGCCAGGGATTTAGCTCAGTGGTGTCGCTGCCTGCTTCGCAAGCGCAAGGACCCGAGTTCAATCCCCGGTACCAAAAAAACAAACGAAAAAGCAACGTGTGGGGCTGGGGGCTCAGCTCAGTGGTAGAGAGCATGCTTAGCATATATGACACCTTGGGTCTAATCTTCAGCACCCAGGAAAATGTCTAAATAGCAATTAAATGCCATGCATATTGCACCATCTGCTGGGTAAGAACCACACAGGGAGTAGGAATGTGCTAATGTAAGCCTCATTTGCATAACTCACTCAGAAATCATGAAAGGTAGGAAAGAGGGGGATGAGGGATGCTTTCCACCTATGTTTCTATGTATTCTCAGATGTCAGAATGTTCTATCTGTGTTGCGTATTTAAATATCAAATCCAAATTAATAAAGAATAAATGGGTAAATGGGAAGGAGACCTTAGATGCAATAGCAAATCCACGGAGCCCATTTAGCCCTCGATACTTTAGACTTTGTTATTGGCATCTGCAGCTCGGAGCACCATCTAAAGTTCTGAGAAAACAGTCACCGACTCATTGCAAACTCTGTCAGGACCTCACAACCCAAGGCAGAGAGGAAGAAACCACCCTGGCCACCGCGGGTAAGGGCACTGACCTTCGCAGGTGTTGCCGGAGGACACGGTGCCCGGCCTCCAGGGCTGCTGGTGGTACCCAGGGCAGCACCTGTTGCAGCTCTCCCCACAGGTGTTGTGTTCACACTGGCACTGCAGTCGCTGAGCAGGAAGGGTGCAAAATGGGATCAGAAAACTGTGCCACATTTTATTGAAGAACAGAACCTGTCACGGGCAAATGATGACAGGCCTTGACAAGCGTACCCCTGAGCTACAGACTGAACTGCTCTGTGGCTGCAGCAGACATGCTGCGCTTCAGTTTTAGAGAAGAATGCATGCATACAATCTGGTTACAAACAACAGTGAGGCAGACTGAAGCAAAGATGAAACATGGGTTAACAGGGCCGGGGATTTAGCTCAGTGGTTTCGCTGCCTGCTACACAAGCGTAAGGACCCGAGTTCCATCCCCAGTACCAAAAAAAAAAAAAAAACATGGGTTAACTAACAGAAGTTTTTTCATAGACACATACCCTTTAATGGTTGGAAGCTCTTATTAGTAACTTTCTTAACTATTAGGAGATTTTCCCAATGTTTTCTCATAAATCGCTTGCTGATATGCACTCACAGATTTTTTTAGTAAAAAAATAGAACAATTTGGTGCTGTAGCTCAGGGGTACGGCATTTTCCCAGCATGTACAAAGCCCTAGGGTTCAATCTCCAGAAAAGAAAAAAAAGACAATCCTACTCAATAAAGAACTACTAAGATTGGAGGGGAAAAAAGTAACCTCATGTGTTTTAAAAAGAGAAGACATTACTTACTTCATATTATGCTAACCCCAGAAACTTTATCTCGGTTTAGTATCACAAAAATGGAAAGGGAGAAAACCAGAAGAGAGGAGCCCTTCTTGGAAAAAAGTGTAAACATAGCAGCTAATTGTACATGGTTTCTGCCTGACTCTTCTGTAGAGAAGAGCTTCAAACTTCAGACCCCCAAGTGCAGATTCAATGGTCCCTGCAGCTCTTTTACTAAAATCAGGAGGATAGGGAATAAAACGAATTTCACAATTACTTCATCCCTTAACAAACTTTATAGCTTACCCATTTATTTTATTATCATTATGGGGAATAGTTAAAACTGGTTCGATCTGTCTAGGCCAAACAGATCTAAATCATGATACATGGTATGGTATGGAGGTCTTTCCACAAAAAAGTCACAGCAAGGACTTAATTACAAATATATCCTCCAAACAAAGCAAAATGATGAAACTGTTTAAAATATGAAGCCAGTTGAATCCTCTGAGAATCCTGTATTCTGTTTCCTGTGGGTGATTTCATACCCTGCCACTTGTGCCTGAATGAGGAGAGAGTAATGCAGAGGACTGCAGTGAGGGCTTCCGGTGGAGTCTCAGGGGTGGGAGTCCCGCGACTTACCTTCCTGGTGTCATCCCACGGACAGCTGCTCGCGTGGCCGTGGCAGATACACATCCCTCCTACAGAAATGTCTTTGATGGAGTAGTAGTACTGCGGGGAAAGAAGGTCATAAACGGAAACTCAAACCTTTGTTTCAGTGAAAAGAAAATGTTGGCACGGCACAAATGGGCAGTGTATAAGTCATGGGTAATCTAAGATGATCCACACACTCTAAAACTGTATTTCATGTGCAAAGAATCTTTGTTCTCATTTGAAATCAATAAATGCTCAAATCAGTTCATCAACAGAACCCAGAAGAATCTAAAACCATTTTCCAACTTGACTTCATCTTAAACCAAAGTAGTTGTCTTCAAAACCCATGTTGTCAAAACCCCTAAAAATACCATTAAGCTGTATACAGAAGTATCTGAAAAGGACAATACATCACGAACCAGTGAGGTTTATTCCAGGACACAGCCTAACACAGTGGTGGCAAACCCATGTCATTTGTTTTTCTTTTAAGGCAAAAGAAAGATGTTAATGTAGAGCTGTCTTATCTAAACTAAAACCTCAATATTCAGGTTTAATTGTAGTTTGGCACTTTGTGATAAATAAGTGGGTTTTGGGTTGCAGTGTAGCATTCAACCCCTAAAGGGTTCGTCATCACTGGCCTAACATAAAAAATCAATAATAGGATAAGGTGATTTCCTCTTATGATCTGATATCACCACTTCTTTAATTTTTGCATGAGTGCTAATATAATTCTCTTATGTGATTCATTTGATTTGTATATTGCAATATTGCCAAATTCATTTTTTCTAGTATTGTTTTATAGATTGTCTATATACACAATCATATCATCTTGTTGAATTTCATCAGAACTGAAATCTCTGCTCATTAAAAGTCCAAGTTAGGAAAATGAATAAGCAAGTTCCAGACAGATCAAAGATATTAACGGTATCTACACATCTGAAAACGGACTTGTGCTCAAAATGGATGAAGATCTTTTATAACTCAGGAGTAAGGAGACAGGTAGCCCAATTCAAAGTGAACACAAAATGTGATCAAATACTAATACGCAAATGCTCAAAATTAGTCACCAGAGAAATGCAAAAGGACATCATGGGACAGGGCGCCATGTGCAGGTCATGGCAGCGGACAGGAGGACAACCAAGATCACTCAGAGTCTGGATACACCTGACCAGCCAGAGCTCTTGCACGTTGCTGGTCTGATTGGAAAATGGTGCAACTGCTTCCGATAAATGTTTACCAGTTTCTTAAAATGCTACTCCACACCCCAGGTATGAAGGGCTATGACAATATTTATCCCCACAAGTCTGGTACACCTAGTTGTACAATTAAACCTGTGGACTGTATTAAATGTTCCTAAACTTTCAAAATTTGAAATTAAAATACAAAGTTTCCTGACTCGCAGAAAACCAGATGTGGAGCCAGAGTGGGGGGTGAAGAGGAAAGACAGCTTCATTCACCGCACCAGGGTCCCACGGGGACTGGACAGGGCCCGGGCTCCTGAGACTGCCACTCCAGTGCATCACCTAAAGGTGGCATCCACAGCAAGTGACAAATGCTCTTCCATGAAGTAAGGATGTAATGGCTTGGAGGAAGACAGACAACTCAGGAAGAGAACAGGAAGGAAAGAGGAGAATGTTCTCTGAAACAAACTAACCTTGCCCAATGGTCAGGCACCGCCAGACTCACCCGTCTTGTGACGATGGGGTCGATGTCTCTGGGGTCCAGGTGGCTGAGGGTCATGAGGTCTGCATTGAGCGTCCTGATGCGCTGCAGGCGGAGGCGGATGTATCTGGCAGAGGTGAATTCCAGCAGCCTGGGGGAAAGGTCATCAGCACTAGGCCTGCCATTGATGAGTGACGTATGAATCTGAAGATGAAGACAGCAACGGAAACGTCAGCTTTAGACATGCAAGGAGGGAGCCCTGGCTGCTTAACTTTAGGACGTAAGCTCTACAGACAAAACCAAACAGCTGAGCTCCTGTAAGAATGTGTCAACAAGTGCTAACTACTCATACGTCACCAGGTCCTCGGCCTGTAACCGATGAGGCCATCTGGCCAGCGTCTGAGAGCTTGCTGGAGACCTCTCCTCCCAGAGTGGGGAGGACGCTTCAGCATCTACCCTCAGGCTACAGCTTGGGAGAAGCAACTTTCAAACGCCACACCCATGCTGGGGAATTAGAGGTGAAGCTGGCAACAGCCTTGAAGATACCCATTCTCTTAATCTTTGCTCTTAGTGCAGGCTTTCTGCAGACTTCCTGCCGTGAAGAGCACTGGGAGGGTTGCGTAGCTTCCCCTCACTGAGCCAGGCGTGAGAAAGCAAGGGCTGTTTCCATCACACTGGACTGAATGACGTGTGCGCAGGCTGGGCGTGTTGGGCCCTGAACTGTGTCGCCTCCTGGGTGTCATCGCATCCTCAGTGCCCTCCAAAGAGGAGGACATGGAGAAAAGTGGGAACTGAATCTTTTGGAGGAAAGCCTGGCTCTTTAATATTTCAACAACTGATCCTGACCTCGAGTCCTGGAAAAAAGCTCTGAAGGAGAACCTGGGAGAGTGACTGGGTCACAGTGGTGGAGATTCGGGGACCTCTGGGAAGGGAGAGATCATAAGGGAACACGGAGCCACGGTGAAACCAACCACCATGGACACCACGCCAGGCTGAGCTGGGGCCTCAGAAAAGGGCTTTGTGTTGAGAGCAACCAGCCTTGAGCATCAACACTGGCTCCTGCAGGGGCTGTTGACATTCGTGGCAGTGGGTCAGATGCAACAGCCCCGTTACCTCTCCGTGCTCCAGCGGCACGAGTCTAGAGTAATAGGAGGTGCAGATCACTTCATCGTCAGCTCGGTAGGTGGGCGGCCCGCGCCTTGGGGTTATGTTGTAGCGTGTCAAGCACTCAGAGTCGCTGACTGCGTAGTACTGCCAGGGGCTGAACGTGAGCCCGTCCAGGGAGCGCTCCAAAATCCAGTTTCCAGGTCTCGGGGCATTGGCTGCTTTAATGATGATGTAGGCCACCTGAAAGACCTGAAAGAAAGATGCAGGGAAATCTCAATCCGGACTCAGGAGTGCAGACACAGAAAGGGAAGCTGTGTGAGCTCCAACGGCTGGAGAGAGAAGCGCTGAGAGCAGATGCTGGGGTCCAGCAGCTGGAGGGAGGGGAGGCTTGGGAGAGCGATCAACTCCAGCTGTGCGAGAGCCATCCTTCCGGTGTCTCAGCTGCAGCCGTGACTACAGACAACGGCACAGGGAGATGGATCTTGTGCAGATGGGAAGGGCGGATCTTGTGCAAGAGATACAGGAAGGGAAAGGAGGAGATGGAAGGGAAGGAGACACCAAAAGAATCCCTGAGGAGTGACACCACTAAGTACTACGAATGCGCGTACTGATGAAAACTGAAGAAAAAAAGCTGTATATAGGAAACTTATGTGTTCCCACCACACATACGAAGAAGGTAACTGTGACGTCATGGCTGTGTTAATGTTCATTATCTTGACAGTGTGGACTATTTTACAGTGTATATTTATACAAATCAGCAAGTTGTGCACTTTAAATATGTAAAACTTGTAAAAATCGAAAAACAGAATCAGTGGCAACTGTTCAAACTGGTTATTGAGAAAAATGCAGTGATCATCAGTGCCTTCTTATACTCTTGTGTATCAATGAATTATAGACTTTAATTAGAAATACGTCATGTGCATGATAGAAAGTAAAACATATCCACACATATCAGAGAACAATACAGATTACTCATCTCTAAAGGAATACGTTGATTAGAAGTCCCTGTCTATTACATAGCCTCATTTTTGAAAACTGGACAAAGAATATCTTCCAAACTGGACATTGTGTCAGAACAAGATAGGTTTCTGAAAGTCTTTAAATTGTTTCTCAGAGAATACAGAATGAATTTTTAATTTTCTGGAGACTATATATAAACTTTTAAGTTTTTAAAGAAATAAGTTAAATATTCCTAATGTGTTAACAATATTGAATATTGAGTGACATGTCACTCTAACCTAGGCATTAAACTCTTCCTTATTGAAGATTGCTGGTAACAGATGATAATATACTACTGGATAAACAGCACAATAACTTCTCTAGTAATTTTTTACCTAGGGTCATTAAACTTCAAATAATCTGGATACAATTATTCCTGTCATATTTTATTCATTTTTTTAGTGACTGGGAAATTATGATGGTTATACATATATAATGATAAGCCCTTCATTTCTGAATCCTTAATTAATATTTATGAAATTTTACCCATAAAGTATTTTTTACATGTTACCCATTGGAGATATAAAACACATAGAGTCCTTGGTATTAATAATTTACCTTTACTGAAATAGACACACATTATTATACCTTCAGGCATGGGAGGATTGTAGAGTTATTAATTGTGTGTGTGAATACCTATAGGAAAAATAGTATTATGGAAACAAAAGCTAATTTCAAAAGGTTCCACATTTTACTAGAAAGAAAATATTTCACATATCTTGTCTACACTGAATTCATTTCTCAAGATACTGTTCCTGGTTTAGAATCTCCTTATGCTAAATATGATTTTTAAAAAATTTTCTGTTACTCATGTAATACCTAATATGGCTTATTTGATAAAAATTTATAAAGTATTGTATCTTTTATCTCTGCAGATATTTTAGGAATGGCTTTTTGATACTGAATTGTGTTCCAAAATTAATTTTTTAAATGTAGTTCTATGATAACTATATTAAGATATATATCCTATGATTAGTGTGTTCCATGATGTCCCTGTGATAAATAATTTTAATTTTAAATTTAAAAAAAATGTCATATGAATATCCTCCTGATGACATCTGTTTTCAAGCTAAACTCAAAAAAATACAAAGAAGCTTGCATTACTATTAACAGTAGTGTAGTATCCACATAAGGGCTGGTGGTACTGGCTCCAATGTCTTTTTCCCTCTTGGCTGTGACTGATATATTACAATCATAGTGATATATTACAATAGTCACAGGGACTTCTGGAGTCAAAACATCTGAATATGAGAAAAGTCAGCTAACCGTGTGTCCATTAGAACGGCTAGCTTACCAAACTGACAGTGCCAAATGGTGGGAGCATGTGGAGCAAGAGGTCCCGCTCGCTGCTGGAGGGAGAGCAAAATGGAGCAGCCATTTGGAAGGCAGCTCTGCAGCTTCTTAGAAAAACTAAACACAGCCACCGCATGAGCCAGTAATCGTGCTTCTCTGTATTTACCCACACAAACAGAAAACTCATGAAACTTGCACAAAGGCGTTTATGGCAGCTTTGTTCATAAATGCCCAAATGAGGAGCAACCTGGAATCCCTTCAACAGGTGAACAGATGCATGGACCGTGGGCTTCCAGACACAGACATCATTCGGTGACAAAACAAACAAATCACCAAGCTACGAAAAGATATTACGCGAAAGAAGCCAGGCCGAGATGGCTACATATTGCACTACTGGAGCTCTACAGCATTCCAGAAGACAGTAAGGTCAGGGGCCGCCAGTGGGTGGGGGAGGAGGGATGCACGGGCGGCGCAGGGCACTTGTCAGGTGGTGGAGGGACACTCTGCAGTGCTGTAAAGCCTTGGGTATATGACATCCACTTGTCAAAACCCATGGAGTGTACGCCGCCATACGCTAATGTGAACAACGGACTCAACAGCCACAATGAAGTAGCAACGTGGACTCCTCCACTGTAACAAGTGCACCACTCTAATGCAAGATGTTACCCACAGAGGAAGCTCAAGAAGAGGAGGACCGTATACTTTCTGCCCTTTTTGCTGTAAACCTAAAACTGTGAAAACTAAAGGAAAAAGTCAGAGTAGGGAGGAAGGCAATGGAGAAAAAGGATGTCCAGGACTATTAACAGCATGAGGAAACTAGCCAGGCCAATCTTGGATCTGCAGGGAACTTTATCCAGCACTGAAGCTGAATCACCTCTCCAGCCCCACTGCAACAGGGACAGGAAATGCACTCGCTCCAGACAACCCTTCTGCTTCAGGACAGCTGCCCAGGAGAGAATTTATTTTGTATTGATTCAAGGTCCTCCATAAGTTTCTATATAGAAAAGATGTTTGTTTCCACTCTTGTGCAACTATCCTTCAAATACTAGCGCATAACTTCATACACTGCTGCCAGAACCCAAGGTCTTTTCATTTTTAGCTTCAACATCCTGGTTTCCTGAGGACGTTCATTATTTAACATGACGTCACCTCCCTGTCAAGATGTTTCAGACACAGCCATGTGAGAAAGTGCAGTTCCAGGAGCTGAATGCAAAGTCCCACATGCTTTATGAACTGGGAAGAAACAACAGAAGTGGCCCTTCTGTCTGAGATTTCTAACTCAGGTGGGGGCTGCAATCAACAACAAAATGCCCTCGTCCACGTGCACCGTGTTTACTCGGGGTTTCCTCTAACCCAGATGGATTTCTTTTTGAAACCAAAGCCCAGTACTTTTTATTTTTTAAACACAGAGTCAGTCCAATGTACCTATGGGTTCTGCATCCAGGGATTCAACCAACTGCAGCTCGAAAACATTTTTTAAAAATTGCATCTGAACTGAGCATGCACGGATTTTTCTTGTCTTATTCCCTAATCGATACACAATGGCAACTGCTACTGAGGGAGGTCTGTGCCCATAACACACGTATGTGTGTAACATACACACATGTCCGTGTGCACCTGAATATCCCTGTGAGTCCATACGCTTGTGCAGATGCACATACATGGACACACCCATGGGGAAGGTAGCTGCTCTTTACTTTGAGTCTCACTGCATGGGGGTTGTTTTGGTTTTCTCTGTTCTGTTTGACTTATCCCCACTTTAGCACTCACCAATTTCTTTAAAATTAACCCACTATAGAGGCCAGGGATTTAGCTCAGTGGTACCGCCACCTGCCTTGCAAGCACGAGGTCCCAAGTTCGATCCCAGTACCAAAAAAAAAAAATTAACCCACCTGACCAACCAAGTGACGACACTCACCTCATAATTCTAGGGGATGCAGAGGAATGGGCAATCCTACCTCTCTGCATAACTCTGCTCAGTTACAAGAAGTGTCCTCAACAGATCTGCACCTGCAAGTGACACTGGTCACTCTGGAAGGCCACCACTGATTCTAAAGCCCACCAGAAGCAAAGTGATGCTTGCAGAGTTTTGATAAATGAGGACAAGAGAGAACACCCTCCTATGTACGCACTGCTGTCCAACTGTCTTGCAAATATCTTCATCATAAAAACAGAACCCTACAAGCACATACGCTGCGATCGCTCTCCCCTGTGCATGGATTGAACCAGACTTTACAACGTGGAGCTGCCAGGGAGGCAGAGCACCCGCAGCCTGCTGGAGGGAAGAGGGGCAAGGTCATGTACTGCAGAGGACCGTAATACTGATTACGCCCAAGGCAGGCTGTGAAGAGCTAACCCCTCAACTGGCTTGTTTATAGAACCGAGTCTGGCTGAAGCCTACGTGCTGAGGTCAGGGTAACTCACACCTAAATTCTGTCCCAACTACAACCTTCAGACTAGAAGGACAATGTTCTAATTTCAACCATATATTTTGTCCATTCTGTTCCTAATTCCAGAATGCTTTGTCTTGTCCTTTACGAGCCTTGTTTACATTAATTTCCATAGAAACCACATGTTGCCTTTACCCCAATTGGTTGCCAATAAAAGTCAGTGCCTGGGCCTGGCCAGCGCGGTTGTCAGTTGCACTGGCATTGGTCACCCTGGCCCCCACTCTCTCTCCTAGATCTGTCTCTTAGTGTATTCTTTTTCTCAGGCCTGCATCGTATACTGGGCAGGTGGGGACTGGAAGCTGACTGCAGGGGTCACCGGTAATTTACAAAGGCTTCTAAACCGGCACCTAGTTACGTTCTGCCCTCCAGTTTCCCACTTGTCAACGGGATGAACCGGTTCACCACATGTGTGTTAAGAGTTATATTCATTCATCTCATCTAATCCCAAACAATCCCATTACTACTTCGGTGTCCTTTTTGCATATTTGGAAACTGATGTCAAGGAGG